GGTCACGTTGACAATGCTCGATTGGACCAAGTATCAAGTCACTGACAATACTTGATATGAGCAGTACAATCAATCCTCCTGTCAAGTATATAAGCAAGTAGACATGCTGCCCTTATGGCATCGTGTTTGACCTCATCAATCAACTTTGTTATTGGAATCTCACCTGCTCTTGAGCCAGACAGTATACTCTGTACTACTCATTGCAACCAGTCGCCATGGTCTTTGACTAGACGACTACCCCCTGATTATCACGGCGGTTTATCACAGTCAAACCTCTGCCGCTCCGAGCTTGCTCAGTGATAACCAACCTCTGACGGCTTTCTGTACCTCTGCTCATCCCCGAGAACCAATCGAATAGTGTCTACAAGCTTTGCTTAAGACACGACTTCAACAGAAGCCAGCGGCGCAAATAGTACTACGTTGAGCGGCTGAAGCGTTTGAGTACTGTGCGGCGGAAGTACAAGCAGCAGAATTCGATGGCGATCGCAGTACTTAATAAAAGCCATTGTTATATGAGAGCCGTGGCCATCAACGATGAGCAATTGCCATGCCCTGCGCATCTTCTGCTTAGCGAAGCGCTGGAATATTTGCTCCAGCCACGCCAGTCCAACCTGATCATTTGTCCAACCAGAGGGAGTTGCAGTAACAAATACTGAGTGCTTTCCTTCATCAATATCCTCCACCCAGGTGCTTTGTATGGTGTTGGCTTTGCCAGCGTATATGAGACCCAGCGGCAAGATGCTGCCATTGGCGCAGACGCTTGCCAATAACGTCACCCACTCTCTGTTGCCATCCTGTAGCGTCTGCCGTTGCTTCTGTTGCTTGTACACGTACCTTGAGAATATCCTCTTGCTCTTGTTGAGTACGCCAATCGCAAAGCCCTTCTCATCCATATTGTACATATGACGCGCCTCGATGCCAAATTCGTGAATTGCGCGGTACAGGATGTCAAAATAGAGGTTGTACTTCTGTGCGGAGTCTGCATAATGACGTTGTTTGTCCATGGTGGAGGTCCATTTGTAGAGGAGGTTGTCAGAGTGTTTGTCAATGAAGCGAGTAACCCAGCTATCAGAGATGGGTTGTTGAGCGAATTCTGCAGCAAAATTTTGTACCATTTGCCTTGTAGGTGGTAAGTGACGCGCTGTGAGCGATTCTATGTACTCGCAGAGCTCACGCTCTTGTTGTGGGTTGAGTTTGCGGCGTTCTTCGTCTGCGATCGCACGGGGGAGTGTCACGCCTCTGTCATTGCGCGACACTGTCAAACGCGACACACCAAGCTGATCAGCAATTTCTTCGCCAGGTCTCTCTGCACGCGCATTTTCAAGCACATCAAAAACGGATGTCATTTGGTGGAGTTATGGTGTTGAGGATATTTTGTTGTTTTGGTGATCGCGTGCACCGAGTGGACGCGTGCAGCCTGTGCACGATTACTGTAGGCCAATTCGAGGACATTGGTGCCATGCTCAACTACTTCAAGAGGATCCATTTCCACTCGGCTTTCATATGAAACCAATCGAACAGCCATGCTTCTCCGATATGCAGTCGATAGGCGAAGCCCCCCCCCCCCCTTGCCCAATCGTCATGACATGCGTTCACGCGATCATGTCTTTACAAGTATCATCCACACGCTGAGGTTCGTTGTCGAAAACATTGTCTGTTGACGGGATCGAGGTAGCTATGGCAATGAGTTCGAACAGCTGCAAATCAACATGTAAGGCAGTCTTGTTGATGTCTACCATCGGCGAAGCCTAGACCTTAATCAATGTATGACTGGAAAATTGGAAATGGCAACGTAATGCCGATTTTTCGCCGAACATGCGAACCAAGATCTGACACAGTCCACAGCGGTTGGTGTCAAGACTATGGGAAGGTTTCACAAGGAATCCGAGCGGCAGTCCGTGTTCGTGTATCTTCAAGCACTCTGTGAGGTACCTAATTCTCAGATGATGACAGGAGTCGCATAAGTCAGCATAGAGATCAGGTAGTGTATTGCAATCATGACAAGGATCGTGGAAGAACTCATAGCGTGCCAGATATATGACCTTCTTCGTCTTGGGTGCGATACAACATTGCGGTCGGACACAGAAGGCATGGCTAAGGCACGATCACGTTTGAGCAAGCCAATATCGGGACCAAAATGGATTCGTTCGCAGGGGGTAGGAGGGTTTGAATGGGGAGCCTAGCTATTCGCTGATGTTGTTATTGCATGGCTTGGAAAGCGCAGCGTGATGCGGCTGTGCAAGGGTTTGGGCAACCATGGTACGTGAAGGCTGAGCGAAATTCCAGTAATTTCAACCTGCCATATCAAACCTGGAGGCCGACACATACGATAGTTGCTACTCAATGTGATGTGTTCTGAAGACGTGTTCCATGCAAAGGCACAGGTGCACAACGCGTACCCATGAAGGTAGAGGTTTCTTAGCGCTAGTGTGACCGTCGCGTGGCCAGAAGGCGCGGTTGACGACCTCCTCGTCTCTTCGCTCACCACCACCGCGACCACAACATCGTAACGCCCAACGTTGATCCCGACCTGACGTGTTTTTTCCAGTAAGCTCTCGATCAGATTGTAGTCAGAGCTGAAAACGACTCGGTTCCTATTCCCCCGCGTGACATTTGCCGTGCTTTCTTCTGTCCGTCTTTTGCGAACGGATCGAAGGTCCAAGGGAAGCCAAAAGAAGCGCGTTTTTATGAGGTTCTCGTTCCTGAACCTACCGTTCTGCGGGCTTCGTTGATACACATCCGGGGTGTAGTGTAAAGAGTGCAACGCATCTGCGTAGGATCGCGTGGAATTGAGGCAGTTTCCCCACACCATACCCGATTGGGACGACATCACCACCGAGCACCTTGTTGGAGTCGACATCTGACAAACCGTCAAGCACGTCAGACACGTAGCAAAGATGCGGGGCACGTCGGCTCTGTCAGTCTTGCTGCCCTCTCTCTTTTCTGCAACCAACATTCTTGCTTCAGAACAACAGCCGTTTGAGTTTGGAGAGATGTCTGCACCACAGTATACGCTGCCTCCCCTCCCATATGCATACGATGTAGGTCCCGGTCTTACCTGGTATACTCATACTGCAGTTTATTGACAGCTTACAGGCATTGGAACCCCACATCTCCGCCCAGATCATGGAGCTGCACCATGGCAAGCACCACCAAACATACATCACAAACCTGAACGCTGCTCTCAAGACACAAGCTGAAGCGGTGCACACCTCGGACATCACATCTCAGGTCGCTTTCCAGCAAGGCATCAAGTTCAATGCCGGTGGACACATCAACCACTCCCTCTTCTGGCAGAATCTCGCTCCGGCAAGCTCTTCTGAAGCTAAGAGCTCTGCTGCGCCAGAGCTTGTGAAGCAGATCAAGGCAGTCTGGGGTGACGAAGACGAGTTTAGAGAGGCTTTCAACGCTGCATTGCTCAGCATCCAGGGCAGTGGTTGGGGCTGGCTGATCAAGGTCGAGACTGGTAAGGAGCAGAGGCTCGCTATCGTCACAACAAAGGACCAGGACCCTGTGGTTGGCAAGGGCGAGGTTCCGATCTTTGGTGTCGACATGTGGGAGCATGCATACTACCTCCAAGTAAGCTTCGTATTTGCTCTCGATGGAAAGTTGTATTGACGGTGAACAGTACCTGAACGGCAAAGCTGCGTACGTGCAGAACATCTGGAATGTTATGAACTGGAAGACTGCTGAAGAGCGCTTCCTTGGTTCGCGTGCAGACGCTTTCAAGGTCCTCAAGGCATCCATCTAGACATTTCAGGTATCCGAAAATGACAAGAGTTACGATTGCTGATTTATATGCGGACATTTGCATCCCGGTGCAACATGCTGACGCTCGGAGTACCGTATTGTCTTTAGTGCGGGAAACTGACCAATCAGGTACTCTCCTGAAACATGCTCAAAGGGACGCATTCGCACTCAGCCCTCAAACACGCAACAAAGGTCCGTGATTTCCAACAATTCTTCAAGAGCGCAAGTAGCGCCTCGATATTAATCTGTCAAACCCGTCGACCCAAATTATCCTCATCATCACTTTAACGTCGCTCAAGCCTTACTTCAGCCTTACTTCAGCCTTCTGTTCACGGACTATTTGGTCACAGACCATTAAACCTTTGATCACAATGTGCAATGGCAACTCAAGTCGCGTCAGCCAGGGAGGCTCAATCGCTGTCCTCAGGCCGACACAGCACCTGCGGCGGTCGAACACCGATGAAATGATGCTTTTCTTTCACAATCAATTCTCTGCGTCAGGCACAAGCGTGGAATTTCAAGGTTGGGACGATGATGCGCAGAAGGAGAGGCATTGGGTCGTCATTCAGTAAGTGCAGTGTATTGACTCTAGATCCTCCTGCTGATCCAACATGCAGCCGCGATGGCGACCTTTCAGGTTCTGCGTCACCAGCTCAGACACCAGCATTCTACTCATTTCCACTAGAGTCAAGTGATTCATCGATAATGCATCTGCCGCGAAAGTTGGACCTTGGTGTAGGTGATGCAGGAATCATTGGCCGAAGGATCTCGGTCATGACAGGATCAACGAAAGGCCCTTTGACGGTTGCAGAGGGCATCGTCGGGTGGAACTAGAGTTGTGTGATGGGCATCATCGGCGTTGGCGTTGGGCGTTTGTCACTTCCACAATGATCACTTCTGCGCTCCTTCTTCTGCACAGACACGCGATTTCCGTTCTCATGTCACAAAAATGGTCTTTCCATATCATCAAGTCAGACACTGCAAGCAGAGCGCGTCCTACCTCGCATTAGACCGTGTTTCATCACACCACGGACCACTCAGTTGCTGACATTGGTTATTCTTTACGGCTCTCGTAAGGATCCGAACGCCTCTACACAGACAGACAATTAACGTTCGCAGCTTTACAGAGATATCTCTTTGACGAGACATTGATTCACCATCGAAAATATCTTCATCGCGACGCCTACGCCGATACAGCTGAAACCGCGGTCGCACATCGACCTGATCGCTCACGCTCTTCACTCACAGAGCCTACAGATACAACGCCGGAACTCCCTATATGATGGACAAAGAGAGGTCTTTCGCGACGGCTCAGATTCGAGACTTGGTGGTCAGTAAAATGCGAGCGGGTACGAAGGCGGAGGACCTGGCGAGCAAGTTCGGGCTGTCGTGCTGCCACGTCCGCGACCTTTGCAACGAATCTAGTCGACCCACAGGCGATATGCCGAAAAGACGCATGTTGACAGATGAGGAGCGAGATTGCACGATCAGTGAGCTGCAGGCAGGTGCGCGAAAGGTGGACGTGGCGTACGAATTGGGGCCATTAGACAGCACCATCCGCGACCTATTTTGGAAATTTCGAGCAGAGAGATCCACTGCATCGAGGCCGATCTCAAGCTATACTAGCGAATGTGTTCACCTCGAGGATCTTGGCTTTGAGATCGAAGACCTGTTTCTTCTGCAATGGCTGAAACCGGTGGAAGTTTGGATCGAAGAGATACAAGACCAGATTACCGCACTTGAGCGCAGATACCCTGAAGGGTTTGCTTGGCAATACCTTCAAGAAATGGTCAAGACGTTCTCCAACTCAGTCCAGATGATGGGTCTCAACGAGATACAACGCGCGCGAAGGATGCACGAGGAGCTTGACAACCTTACTGAGCACATGAACAAGATCGACGCATTGTTGAGACAGTTCGGCAAGGAGGCGGAGGTCAGTGCAGGCTGTGTCAAGTTGAGCCTTAAGCGCCCGACCAGTGACGAAGATGAGGACATACCTTCATTCAAACGCCACAGGATAAATCTCTCAGCACCTGAGGATGTTACCTCTTCAAGCGATTCCACGCCTGTGGACTCTCCATAGCAGACATAAAAGCAGGCTATGGTGCGCAAGAGGTCTAGAACGACAGCAAAACCTATTCTTTTATTACAACATTGGCGAAAATGCAAAGCTTGTATTTCCTCCTTATGCTGACCTCGTGATGAGTGCCTGATTCAAGCGCTCTACTCACTCTTGCTGTGTGGGCCTACCTTCACCAGACGCTCTTTCCTGCTCTAATAGCACCACCTGAACAAACGTTACGTTCCGCTTCATCTCCTTCTACGCAAACGCGCTAGTAGATTGGAGGCTTCTGCACATACTTGCTAAAATGAAGATTGGGGCTGGTGGTGTTACACATGCAGTCTTAGGCGTAGTTCACGGGAAGCCGCAGACGTTTCGCCAGTAGTAATGACAACCCCAGAAACTGGAAATGCTTCCTGTAAACTTTTGTTTGCTGCAACGGAAGACTTTCGATACAGGAGGCGAAGCTGGTGACGAATCCTTGTTCCTACACTAGCAGGATATGTACTATCAAAGTATGAATGTGAGTTTGGTCTGACCAGGCAGTTCAGTAACTGAGGTCAAGCTGGCCATGCGAGACGCATAACAAATCCTTTGAAACTCAAAACCTCGATTGTCGGATCCCGGCACCCGGATCATAACATCGTACACCCACGTCTAGAGACGCCTCACCATGTCGCGCTGCAACCCTATTGCAGCAGATCCCGCAGTTATCGACTGAATAAAAGACCGAATTCTCCGACTGGATTCATATCTTCACTCATTGAGCATCCGTAAGAGTTGGATTAGATGCCATGAGGAAGACAAGAGGAACCGGAACGAGGTGCTTGAAATGATGGCTAGCCTACCCAAGGATCACCCTGACGTGGAGTTTTGTATCAGGTTATCCATAAGGCAAGAGGAGATCCTCGGGGAATACGCAAAGGCCGAGGCCCACCATTCTAAGTATGAGAAAATGTGCCGAGATATGCTGACGGAGATGGGCAAGGAGATACAGAAGCGTGAGCTTTAGAGACGCAGTGGGTAGCATTGGGATCTTGTCTGTTGGAAAAGAAAAAGCAGAACATGAAGGGGCAGGGTTGGCTCATGAGCAACGAACGCTAGGTAGCCGACAGGAAAATACCGTGGAGGACGTCAATCTGTTCAGATCATGTGTGCCTTGCCACACGATGGACTCGATAGCTTCCGGTAGTAGTGCACGTCAGGTAAAGGTTTTTGTCGGTGTCTTGACATTTTGATTCAGCCTTTTCCATTTTCTCGTGACCAGAGTTTGACTTTTCACTCTTTATGCACTTCCTTCAAGATCCTCCCTTGCAGCGACCGACACCCATTCTCCCAGGCAATCCATGCTTCTGTCTGCCTAATCCTCCCATGGGCCTCCACCAGGAACCTCCTCATCTTAATCGCAACCAACATACCAAACAGAAGCGACCCAGTGGTGGTACTCCACTTCAGCCACTTCGACTGCGGTCGACCCATTAATCTGAGATCATTAAGCACATCATTGAAGCATTGCACCAGATCCGGAGAATTGTCAGAGAAGCCGCTTGGTTTCACGAGCTCCTTGAAAAAGCGACAAGTGATGATGTTGTCGATAAGCTGGCACTCCTGTTCGTAATCGGTCCTGTCAGAAGTGACTGAGAGAAGTGTGACAGTCTGTTCATTGCCCATGGGTAGGCTCGTGCGTGTGGCGAGCGTCAAGGCACTGATTCCGTCCCACTCGAAGAGCTGCTTGTTGCATATGGGGCACTTGTTTTTGTGCGGACCGTCGCTTGTGGCGAGCCAAACAAGGCATCGATAGTGGATCCAGTGGTTGCATGGTGACAAGGGCAGGAATATCGATCGGGTGCCGGCTTTGTCCCATTGCATGTTGCAGCTTACGCATGCTTGTGTGACGTAGGGTGGACGGTTGTGACAGTCCTCGTCGCGCATGAGGACATGGTCAACGTACTGGAGCAGTGATGAGAGGGGTGTTGCTGGAGTCTCAATCTCAGCTTTGATTCGCAGCTCGTTGCCACCTGCTACATCTGAGCTGCCGCGTTGGCCTGAAGCTGGATTTGACGGCGCAATTTCACTAGATGGTTCTGCCTCAAACGACGCAAAGCTTTTCGCAGGTGGTAGTGGCGGTAGGTCGAGTTGGTCAGCAGGTGGTGAGAGGTAGGCGAGAGCTGCATCGGCAAGCGCCTGAGGTGATGAATTTGTGTCGAATGCGGTGCTTGCTTGCTGCATCACGATGTTAGTGCTGGATGTAGTGGCTTGGCAGGCGTGAGGTGTATGAGATTTCAAGGTGTGGGGTCATTCTCGCTAAAGCGGCAGGTGCAAGATGAAGTGAAGGTGGAACTGCTTGTGAAAGCACTAGCCAGTGGTCGCGCGCTGTGCGTAGCACTTCACTTGAAGGGACAAGGAAAGCCCGAGCATAAGGCCCCCTTCCACATGCCTTGGAAGGATGCAGCAGAATCATCCGTGGTGACTTCTTTGCTTGTAGGTCATGGTGTCAAGCCTACATCACAGTTCACCAGCATGGCGCGTTGTGTGCTAATGTAGGTCATTAGGAAACTAGCGATTGATGTCGAAATTAACATTATCCTCACTCGCCTAGCAGGGTTGGACTTTGTGAAGGCCATGCATAGCTGTGATGACTGTGAAGAGTTCGAATCGTGTGTCGATGAAAACTGTTACTGACCGAGTGTCGAGGCAGTTGCATTTGAAAACTGTTTCCAGAGAGCCATTTAGTTGCGGATTCACTTTCGCGTGATTCATCCAAAGATCCGTGATGTTGTGTGGTGCTGTTTAGACTGCTTTGTCAACGACGCGCAGAACTTCTGCGCGATCAGATGACAACTCGAGATTGACACTCTTGCTCTAGATCCTGATGCAAACAAACTGACCTATGATGAGTCTTGGCATTAAGCGTCAACAGCAATCGCAATGTCCAAGATTCCGAATGTCAAAGTCACGATTTACGAGCAGGCGAGCATCTTGCGAGAAGTAGGCGCCGGGATAAGCATTGGACCGAACTCTTAGAGGGCCTTGGAAGTGCCAGGTGCTGCAGATGCTTTGAACAGCGGACATCCAACATGGACAACTCTGAACTTGTAAGTTGATTTCTTCTGGATGATGCGGCATGACGTACTGGCATTGAGATATAGTGATGTCCGATCAGGTGAGGAGCTGCATCGCCGTGAGAAGCCAAAGACGAAGTCTGAACATGCTCCAATCCGAACATAAAAGAACCAAACCGCAGTCTGCGTTACTATCTCGCATCCAACTTGGAATCATTCAGTTACCAAAGATGCTGGTACGTATTGTAGATCAAGGTACTGCAGGTGTCGAACTCTACTTTAAAGATGGCTCTTCAACTATCGCCGACTTGGTAGTTGGCACCGATGAGATCCGCTCAGTATGTAGGTCCTACTTCAATGGAAACAGTTGGGCTGACGGCTATGCAGGTAGTCCGTGACGCAGCTTGGTCGGACTATGAGACCAAGTTCACGGGTACCACGATCTGGCGCACGCTGCTAGCTTGGGAAGATGTGAAGGACCTGGACCCAAGATTTGAGATCACAGGCTGGTGGCATACGCCCACTACCCACGTGTACTTTTCACCTGTCGGTGAAGGTTTGGGGGATATTGCTGCGAGAGCGTGGCATGATCAGGTTGTTCACAGCACCAGCAAGATCAGCTAGGGTGTGCCAGTTGACAACGCACATGTTGAGTCGCACTTCACGGTAAGGAGCTTACGTATCGTGAAGATGCAAACGCTGACTTCGGCATAGGAGTATCTTCCTCAGATCCAAGAGGCACTGGCACAAGTGCCACAGGGCGGTTGGTGAGAGTTTGCTGCTTTCGCAGGTCCTGAGTTGGACACACTGACAGCCTGGAACAATGAAATAGTTCTTTTTGGCGACTTATCCCATGCCTTATCTGGTGCATTTGGGTCCGGTGCCGGCTTCGCTATGGAGGATGGCTGGATCCTGGCTCAGTCATTGGCACACTTTGATAACGATCCCAGCAAGGTATTGCCGCTCTCCGACCAGATTCGTCTGTCCTACTACGCGCACATGTACGTATATCTCGCTTCCGAGGCAGCTCATCGCGCGAAGAATTTGCAGGACATCGTCAACCCCTCGTTGGTGAGCGAGTGGCTAACAAGATCATCTCCGATGGCGGGGCAGACATGTTCTGGATCTATCAGAATGACACCGAGGCGACTTGGAAGCGTGCGATAGTGGAAATCGGAGTCCAACCTTAACGCTTTCGACAGAAGGGTTCCCAACTATCAGGCTACAGTCTGTGGAGGCGGCGATGTCGCTGCAACGCACAGGTGTGGCGCTTGTTGAGTATGACAGGCCTGCCGTTTGGCACACAACAGCCGTTCACCGTTCACCACTTCTATACTATAGTCCAGCCACGCAGCAGCACATGACATGCCATGTTGGTAACAATTGACCATAATCGATCAATAGAACCCATCTCGAAGCACGGGTGGGCTGTGAATGTATGCTCAAGTTAATCCTTGCCCGGTGCTTCTGCTCTAGTTGATGTCCCGTCTTCTTTTTCCATCTTCCAGGAATAGGACGCTCAAGGATGCAGGGCGCACTCTTCACTACGCCATTGCCGTTATCACTACTTGCGCCGAGTGATCGAGAGTGCAGCATCTGCTTCGAAGCATATATTGAGCCTCCATCGCATGGCTCATCTCTTGGAGCCAGGAAGGAGAGTGGGCAGTGCGCGTAGAACTGGTGGCGGAGGTTGCTGGGATGAGGCGATGCTGTGGTCATGTATTCGGCAAGCAACGCCTGGAAGCGCACCTTCGATCCTCGGGGCCCTAGAAGAAACAATGTCCTCTCTGTCGCGATGCCTGGTTCCGCGAGTGCACTCGTCCGGGTCAGAACACTTGACATTCCCCTCCATCGCAGGCACAACGAAGCAGCGAAAGAATTACACGCTCAATGTCTCTTACGGCAAATGACACACGTCGTAGCAGGTCCAGAAGATCGAGGGGTGAGCATGATCAGCAGCAGACCTTACGAGCGGCCCCAGCGCAGGAAGGGGCTAGCTTCACACAACGAGTGCGCGAGGGGCTCGATATCGAGGATGGGAGTGACGAGGTAGGGAGAACACTGGAGGAGGTGGAGCAAACTCTGAGAGACTTCTATGGCCGATCGGAAGTCTAGAACGAGCGACGACTCGAGCAGACCACGATGTTGCCTGTTCATTCTTTTCGTTGGGTTGGTTAATCTTATGCCTGGCTCTTTATCTTCTTCGCTGGGCGTTCATCACTCTCGGTATTCGCAGCATCGGTCCTTGCCTTCAGCATGGCAATGGCCTCTTCGAGTAGTACTTTCTCCCCCCACCTGACCTCGATTGCCATTCGGTGTTTGTTCGTAAGATCAGATTTCTTCATTAAATCCCGATCCTCCCGTACTGATGTAGGATACTCTGTAAGCTTCTCCGTCAACACTTCAGCAATGACTGCGTTTGCGATCTCATCACGCTTTCTCTTATCTGCTACAACCTCTGGCTTGTGCTTCTTGATGATCTTTAGTGCATCTTTCAATTCTTCCTCGAGCTCTGGGAAGTCATTCATCTTTGCCTCGTCTACCAAACGACCCTCTTCGTTGGGTGCGCCTGAGTCGCGCTCAATGATGAAGGGCTCTTCATTCTCTTCTGTGCCTATCCCGACTCCCTATGAAACTATAAGTGACGATGCTCTGCAAAGGAATCATGAGGCTCGCTTACCATATCAGTCAGGTTCGAAGGTGACAGGCCAGTTGCTGTGCTCAATGCTTTCGCAACAGCGCTACGGGGAATCTCAACCTCATCGTATCTGTGGTACTCAGGCGTGACATAACCATAGCGCCTCAGCACTTCAGATGAAGGCATAGCCCCATAGTAGTTCAAGATTTCGGTCCCAGCTTTTACGTCAGAACGAAGACTAATGACTTCAAGACTTACGCCGTGATTGACATGTGCCTTAGAGGAGTCAGTCAGTATGCATGTACAGCTCATTGATAGAAAACTAACGTTGAAGTCGGCATTGGCATTTAGGATGTCAGCCATAGGCACCATGCCCAGCATCCTCTGTGCATCCTTGTCAACTACCCAGCCATCTTCATCCTCTTCTGGATCGTCTTCTTCGTTGTCCAAATCAAACGCATATGCCATGATAGTGCTGCCCATCTGATGTGCGAGACTGAGCAATTGTTCTTCTCCAAGCTCTTCAGCGTCCGCAGGGTAGAAGACCGCTGAGTTTTGCAGAACAACAGGAATGATACGGGAGCGAAGCTTTTCGTTACTGGCTTGCTTTCCGATTTTCTCCTGCGTCAAGACGGTGCCTTCCAGCTCTTTGAGTTCCGGTTCGGTCCAGAACATGGGCGTGTCAAAAGTTGTTGGCAGGACATCTAAGTAGGGCTTCCAACGTGACCCACTACCCTGCAGATGCTCGTACAGCATTATCAAGATCAATGACTCCCAAGGATCGAGCGGCTCAGTGTCTTCGTCCTCTTCTTCAAATGCGGCTTCGAAAGTTCTTGGCAGTTTCTTTGGGAGTTCTGATGTCTCAACATTGATGATGGCGGACCTGGGTATCGTGAACAGCGTACAGTCTTGAGGTATGTCCTGTTTAGTCACTTCTTCAGGTCAGCTCACTGATCTTGGAGGTAATCATGTAAACCTACCGATGCCTCGACCTGCGCCTTGAGACCTTAGGTCTTGGATTTCAATAAGATCATCCCTGAATTCACCACCTGCTGACTTGAACCAGCTCAAGAAGCGATCTGTGGCTGCCTGGAAGTCTGTCATATCTGGAGTGAATGTTTAGAGCTTCCAATGACTTTGACGTAGTTTCTTCACAGGAAGTTCTTGGGCGAGTAAGAAAAGTTTTCTCAGCAACGACTGTGGTTATGCCCAGGGAAAGGTAGCGAATAAAAGGTTAGGGTTCGTGACAGCTTCGAAGTAGGCGCCGCAGACAGTCTTGAAGTGTTCAGTAATGCACAATAAGCGTGAGGATGATCTCTGATACGCGTCGCGGGCGGAGAGCGCAGGAAGGAAAGGACTTTGTACGCTAGCGACAGAAATGGACTAGACTGGGCACGACCGCTTCACCCGTCCACAGGTGTAATGATTGATTGATTAGTTTAACGTCCTAGCTGAGTCTAAGACTATGGAAGATGAGAGAGGTCCACGGGTGTAAGGTTGATGGGAAAACCACAACCACTCCTCCTTACTCAGACTCGAAATAGTTTCTTGATAAGAACTGGTAGATGCGTAACCAGCAGTCAGAAGCTACGTCATCACTTTAGCCCTACAGACGCGCTCAGATCCACCGTGACTCATACAACGCCTCCCTAATCCTCTCCAAAGCGACCTCCACCTGTCCCAGCTCCTGTCTCGCTTGCTCGTCATCTAACTCTAGCGCAGCCAGACTGTTCAACGTCCGTTCGACTTCAATCAACATTTCTCGCCTGCCCGCGTTTGGCGCAGGAAACCACTCCGTTCGACACAGCGGACAAGTATGGCTCCACGGGTTGCCGCCGCGTATGTGGTGCTCTAGGCAGTGACGGCCGAAGATGTGCTTGCACTCGCCGCGGTTGTGGATCTGTACTGCATATTCGTCTTCATCCTCAGGTAGGTCTGGGTGCACGTAGTCCTGTGGCGGGTCAGCAAAGGGGTTGTGGCAGATAGTGCACTCGATGTTCGCGTCGTTTTCAGGAGAGAGATCAGTGAGCTGTAGAGGTTGGGTGTTTGTCGCGAGGAAGTTCGCGATCTGGAAATCTGGAATGTTGTTTGGCATGTTTGCGTTGTTTGAGATGGTCGTTGGTAAGTAAGAATTGTTGGGTGTTACAAATGTCGATAGCAAAAGGTGCTGAACTGCTGGTAATCAGAAAGAGTGCGGTTCAATGCGACTTGAATGGTATAGTAATTGGGGGTCATGAACTTGTGAAGATGAGGGGACAGCCGGCGGATGGTGACGCTCGCTTGATATTGACAGGTGCGAGAATCGTCATTGACAGCGAACAGTATATCGTCACCAAAGACTCCAAGACATGTTGGACTCATCACTATCGCAACCACGACTATCTCCCTTCAGCTTCGTATTGTCTGAAACTACACCGTGCACTGCACTGTTGCAGTAGATACTATGGATACTCACCGTCTGCCGAACATGCTGTACGATGCAGGTCCTATGACTCTCCCCGCCTTCCTCGCCAACAATTTAGAGCATTGTAGCATACTCGAACTTGTCAACAAGAATAGCAGCAAGTTATGCCCGCTCTGCTCAAAAGATATGTGCGACTACAAAGTATTCGCACGTCGTCGCCGTACACGTGATACATGCTCTTATCTAGCTCACTGCGAACCTGCTGTGCACATTCGCTTATGTGGTCACATCTTCGGTGCAAGGTGTCTATTGCAACACATTCGTGGCGGCAGAAGCGACTGTCCGAAGTGTGGTTGCGTGTGGTTCAAGCCGGCCGAAGGACACGTACGAGAGCGGTCGTTGAGGGAGAGCAAGCTGTGGGACTGGTGCTGGGGTTGGGATCTGGGCATCAGCGGAGTGGGCGTTCCGATAAAACCCTAATACTAGATGCCTGAATATGATGAAGATACCCTTCTAGATTACTTCTCTACTTGGTCAACCCTATTGAGACCGATCTATATGACAAAGGAAGTTTGTAAACAAAAGAAACAATCCACATCTTACATCTGGCTAGCAAGAGGCCTGAACGGCTCCTTTGCACTGTCCCTGTAGCCCATCTCCAATCCACCCTCCTTGCCCATCTTAACCACCTTTCTGGCTAGTCTCCCAGGATGCACAACCGCCATCATGACCACGATGACCAGCATAAACCCTCCATCAAAGATGTACAGCGGAACTTCACTACTAAGAAGCCACCCAGAATCACCCTGCTTGAACTCAAGAATCCTAATGAAATTCCGGACAAGGAAGAGTCCGCTGACGAAGTACAAACTCCACACATTACGGCGCCATGATAGCGTTGGGAGGTTGGAGAGGTTCGTCGGGTTGCGGTTCAAGCGAAAATGAATACTCGCCATAAGCGCGATACAAATGAAGAAGATCACGACCTGTATAATCAACCCCACCATAACCAGCGTAGTACCGGTACTCAGAGTCTTCACGTCCGCCCGCATCGCACTTCCTGCGATCTGACTGATGAAGCACCCAACATCGAAGAGCACGAAGAGCTTCGACACCCAGCGCATGCTGATTGGTGCAGAGTGTGCAGCATCGACAGCATTGACGATGCGTTTGAGCGACATGTAGATTGTGGCTGCGAGCATGGGAGCGGCGCCCATGATGAGAAGGGTGGAGATGATGAAGGGCAGGATTTGGTGGATGTTGTCGTGGGATTTGGAGCGGAGGTAGTAGGAGCCTGCTTCCACTTTTCACTAGGGTTAGTCGCTGCAGATTATGAAGTTGCTGGAGGTAAACCCACTAGCGGTGCCAATGATCATTGGGATGGGGAACCAGGCTCGATAGGGGAACATGAGCACGAGGTGGAGCAACCCGGCAATGGCGAACATAGCTACGAAGGCGTATGCCGCTGTGTCGGAGGGGTTGTATGGATATAGTGGTTGGTCGGTGTAGCCATCCTTGCGCGTATAGAGGTGGTGTAGCATAGTCGCTAGTTGCGGTGCGATCGGTACCTAGTCGCGTCTTGAGTGCGGTAGTAAAAGAGCGTGGTGATTTGAAACTGAAACCAAAGTGTAGAGGTTGAGGGACATTCAAGATACTTAAACACTTACAGTTACAAGGTTGCAGTCGGTGCTCATCTGCGACATCAAACGTGCATCTCTTTCGGTGCGAATACGAGAGGTGCGTATCGGCGCTTTCTAAACGCATCGGCCAATCAAAATGCTCGAAACCTGCGTTTCATCCCTATTTTGGGTGCCTTGACAGCGGAGACGGCTATTAGCATATCATCAACCGGGAAAAGCTTGCGAGAAATGCGTACCTTTGTAGCAAGGTCATGCGCATTGAAGCACTGTCGAGTGTTGCGACGCGCTGCAAAAGATACTATGAGATCGTGTCAATACCAAAAAGGGAATGTACAGACAGGTGTCGCAGATATAACAATACAGTAAACAGTTCATTTGTCAACTATCTTCCTCTGCGCTCGCAAAGTTGCTTGTTCTACTGTATAGTTCCAGTTGTACATTTTACTGCACCCCCCCCCCCAGCAACAGTCACAATGACAACTAGCTGTTCCAAACGTGATTGGCCTCGGCTTGGACAAAACAAAACCTCAGTTTCGCCGAATTTAGTCTTCATCCAGCTTTTAGATAACAACAGTGCCGTTCTGGCCGGTGATCAAACCAGCCTCACCAGGAATGACAGTACCGTTCTCGATGGCCGCAGCATGGCCCCTAGCAAGCATACCATAGACGGGTAGGTACTTGTCAAGGAACGGAAGAACCTCACCAGCACCAGGAGTCGCACGCCAATCGCGCATGAGATCGCAGACGATAGAGAAGAGGCTGACAAGTTGGACACCAGCTCGCTCCATGCGGGAGTTGGCGGTGTCGCGGATGAGTTGAGTAGTGGTGCCAGATCCCTCGATGTTGGCGAAGACAGAGTAGCCTTCGGCGCGGAGAGACAGGGCGAGGAAAGCAGTGCAGACGTCGGTGACAATGCCGGCAACGATGATCTGCTTCTTCCCAGAGGCTTTGACTGCGGCGCGGAACTCGGGGTTGTCCCAGGCGCTAGGTGATAATCAGTCGTGAACACAAAGGGAAGAGGGAGGCGTCTCACTTGACCTCACCCTGGCGGCGGATGAGAGGAGCGTCAGGGTACATCTCGAGCATCTCCTTGGGAAGAGGACCGTTGGGGCCGGTATCAGCAGAAGTCGTCAAGATCACAGGCAGGTCGAACAGCTTGCCAAGCTCGGCGTGAGCCATGATGTTCTCCTTGTAAAGAGTAGCATCCCAGTCACGAGCAAGCTGGTAGAGGCCGACCTGGAGATCGAGGATGAGCAAGAGCTGAAGCACGTGTTAGGTTCGAGGTCGGTAATAGCAGATGGCGATCGATGTCAAGACGAACCGAGTTGTTCTTGTCGATGCGCTCCCATGGCACAGCTGGTAGTTGTCAGACCTGGTTTATTATGTAGTCGAAGGTTGTTGTAACATACCATCACCATGGACGGCACTCAAGAGGCTGGCAGCCAAGAATGCAATGCTAGCTCCGAACTTCATTTTCGATGTTAATATGCAAACAACTGGAGTTGGCAGAAGCTTGTCTGTTGAAGTGATGTGAGGATGGTGTGATACGAGGATGGCGTGATGATACTCTGGCAGCCGCATGAGGCTCTCTTTATACTGCACCACCTTTCCTCTTCGTCAATCCATTTCCTACCTCCAGCTTCCAAAGTCCGGCCAAGCTGCAGAACCCACATCGTGCCGAACATACTCAGCCTATCCGCCCAGTTGAGGCTTGCCCGTGCGATGCTACTATTGTTTGCTTGGGTAGAGATGCATGGAGATTGCATCGTAAGTCTCACCAGCTGCGAGAGTAGGTTCTTAGACTGATTTCGAAGATCTGACGAACTTCTTGAGGATAGAAGGTTCAGCTTCTTGAGATCCAATTGGTGGACTATCGCGGGGAAACGTTGTGCAATGGTCCGGTAGCCTGCCTGTTGCTCTGGTGTAGCTCTTAGGCAGGCTGGACAAGGCTAAAGTCCGAGTCACTGTACTAAATGCGGTCTTTGATAAGCCATGACTGTACACAAAGTCGTGGGGCTGTCCAGGACGCCCAGACATAGCTTCTCGCTTGAGGCTGTTTGACATGCAAGCCTAACGGGTACCCCGGCTCTTTCAATGCAGGTAAGCAACTCAATCTTATTCATCAGCATGTGGTAACCGCGTCTAATCGCATTCTGGGAACAATTGCATATTAGCTAATGCAGGTCGAAGGTGTCGAGAGCGGAGCAACGCTGTCAGACCAGTTTGGTTAGAGATGATTAATGCTCTTCAAGCGCATTATGTCCCGAGCAAGCACGCTACCACAGTCGCATCGTCTCGCGCTTTCCCACGTTTGGTCTATGATAGTAGTAGAATCAACAAGCTCTGTGGAGATAGATGGAAATAGCTGTAGAATCGCCAAATCTTGGAATGAGGCTCGAGAATTGCGCGCGAAGGATGTTGAAGTTGCTGGAACGAAAGAAGTGGGGCTCCTCCACAGCCTCGCACTGGCTGACCGAGAATCAGTCATCATAGCTTGGATTACGTCACGAGCACCTTCATCAAACCAGACAGAGTCACAGAGATGCAATTGCACAAGTCCTTGTGTAGTAGCTTTCATTAGGTGATTGCATTATTCGAGTACATGATATATGTGATAGTACATATGCTTCTTTCCACGTACAACACTGCGCGCACGCTTATGTGGAGAGACCGTTGCGGCCGAGGAAGTCCTGGATGATCTGGTAACCGGCGGTGGCGTTGTAGTGGAAGTTGAGACCGTGACCGGTGTTGGGCTGGATGTATGCCTCGAAGGCGGAGGCAGCAGGGAAGGCAGTCTTAACACCAGCGGGGATGTTGGCAGCAGTGATGTTCTGGGCCTGACCGTAGCAGTTGCCGCCGCAGAAAGGAACGTCGTACTGGCCGGTGATGACGAAGGCAGGTCCAGTGAACTGTGACACCTTGGGTGCGTTGCCGATAGTCATGATCTCACCAGCAGTGACGGGCTGCTTGGTCTTCTCACTCTCGACAGCGAGACCAACATCAAACTGATCAGGGAAGAGGAAGGCGTACTGAAGGGCAGTGAGGGCAGAGTGCGCGAAGTAACCAGAGGGGTAGTTGTACTGAAAGATGGTGTGGTTGTAGCCATTGATGAGATCGTTGATCTCGGTAGAGGCGACGTACTGCCGGACCTCTTCGGTGTCAACATCTACGCCAATCTTGTTGAGGATGGCAGTCAGACCGGGGACAATGTCACCCTGAACACCATACTGCTGGGCAAGAGCCTGGACGCCAGTGGCAGATGCATTACCAAAGCGGAAGGGCTGGTTCAGGCGAGCGCTGTGGAGGTTCCAGCCAGCGACGATGTAGGGGAAGAACTCAGCAGCATTCGAGTAACCTGTAAGGACAACACCGTTGGTGTTGTTGGGGTACAGAGCAGAGAGCCAGAAAGTCTGGACGGAGCCGAAGGAGTGGCCAACGTGGACGACCTTCTCGTACGAGCAGCTGATTTCAGAGATGGAACCAACACGGAGCTTCTTGGTGACCTCGTTGAGGGCCTCGACCTCAGCCTGGGCCTGGATTTCGTTGAAAGGGTCGCCGTGGGTGGAATTGCCAATACCGAAACGGTCAATGGCAAGCGTGCTATAACCGGAAGCAGTAGCTACGTTGACGTAGCTGTACTTGTAGTCGTCGTATGACAGGTCCCAATAGCTGAATATCGTTAGTCACATTGAAACATGCTGTGTGAGGTTCATGATGAACGTACGTCTTGTCAAATCCAATTCCATGGGACAGAACCTGGACAATGCCATTGCTACCGCCATCGGGTGTGCAGTACTGCGCAGAGATCTTGATGCTCTTCTGGAGAGTCTGGAAGCCGGTGAAGAGCTCGGCGGTGTAGTTGTACTGAAACTCGTTGAAGCGGGTCGCGAACGCGCTGGCATCGAGGTTGGTCTCAACGGGAACCTTCTTAAACACACCCTGTCGGGAGGAAATGTCAACGGGGATGCTGAGAGTCTGGCACTGCCTTGCGGCAGCGTAGCCAGCAAAGAGCGAAGTAGCAAGCGCCTTCAGGGTAGGTGCCATTGTGTATACTGGTTTAGTGGAATTGGGTTAACAGACGAAGAGTGGACAGAACAGGCCTTCAACAACGGGTTGATCGAACAGTACTGTCATCAGCGGCGTGCCATTATATATATAGTAGTCAGGTACCCATAGTGAAAGCAGCTGCAGTTAGGTGAGATAACACCCCAACTTGGGCCCGAAGGCGACTCGTACGCACGGTCAAGGCGTGTCCACCATGAATCCGCTGCTTCTGAGGCTGGTGAAAGCGCCATTTGGAATCCAAACCCAACTGGAATTGTTGCGGCTCGAAGCGTAACATCGTTCACCCGGTCCAGTGCAGCCGCAATCGCCCACTTTGGATAGCTTTGGGAGCTATGGTGATGCAGCTGGTTCCAAAGTTTGTGTTTAGCGTACGTTGGCCATACCCCAGCACAAATAGTTACCAGACTACCTCCAGGAACATCGTGATGTGGTGTTTTGGCGTACAGCAAAACAAGGCACCCACCTGAGATAATGAAAAGGTGTGGTCAAGCCTTGGTCGTGTTCCTTGTCACTGCAGGAGGATGATGGATGCTGCGTCATGCCTGTCTTGTCGTTCATTGGCGCTTCAGTACGCCTTGCAGATGCAGTTATCGTGATGTTGCCTTTTAGGGACATCAAGAGTGGAGTGCTGTTGCTGTTACTGCAGGGCGCACAGCTTGCTGCATGGCGGGATAGAGTTCCCTGTCAGAGACAACGCTGCGCTACTACTGGGTACGGCAGCTGCCAGCTGGACTTTGACACTTGTGAGAGACAACAAAGCGCGCACGCTTTCCACGTTGAGGGGTCCTTTCGATAGATCTCCGTTCTTGATGGACTGAACCGTGGGGTTGATATTTGGAATCGACGAGGCTCTCGGAAACTATGACTGCCGTGGACGTCATCATCTGCTCAGCGGTGGCAACGACTTTCTCAACTCGTCAAAGCTGAGAGAGAAGCAGTCGATCTGCCGCAATGATGTGCAACTTGGGCTGCAGAGATGATAAAGGAGTCGCAGAGATGAGAGGGCTGAAGGGGAGCCGCGAGAAAGTCAGGTGAACGATCTCGGGAGGCTTGAACGCCGACCCACATCTGCATTTTGCATTTTGCTGATTGGTCTGGCTTCAGCTTCCACACCAGCCACAACATCTTCGCGCAGTGAGACCTATCTTATCGGCTTCAATCCCGAGTTTGCTGTCTAGCTTGTGCAATTTGCATGATGAGCTGCTTTACACTCGCAATCGATAGTTTGAACTGGAAACCGCCGTTGATGCTGACATGCGCCAACAGCAATTTACACCCATGTGCGTTCGCCCAACACAAAACTCAGGTATTGGCACTTGCGGTTGCGCTTTAAGCAAACTCTCCAAATCACACTGTTCCTTTCAGCCGACCAGGATGCGTGCCCTCGCTCTCCCACGTGTCACAGAAGTAACACAAGCACGCGTATGATCCCGCGCATCAGTCATACGCATGGTTGACTCTCCTTTTGTATCACTGTGCAAAGACAGCTGAGTATCGATATGAGCAAGGTGGAGCGACTGCGCACCAACAGTGGGCCTTTGTGCTGCTGCTATTCTCCGACCAAATCCAATCCAGGACCTGCCAGGGTAATTCCTGACATCTTACAAGAACTCGATGTCGATTGAGGTTATCTCAACACTGCACTCACACAGCCCCGTCGAGGTCGCTAACAGGGTAGTATTGCTACGTACGACTAACTGCTCTTCTTCTTCAACATATAGTCACCCCCTCGCACCGCCTTGTAGATCCCATAGAACCCACTCAGCAACGCACTGCTCTTGATCATTCTCTTCAGCAACCCCTTGAGACCAGTCCCATGTTCCTCTTTCTTCTTGCCTCGATCTCTCACTTTCTCCCAGATCGAAGGCAGTCCAGTTGCTCCAAACTTCATTCTCAGCGCTTCGTCCTTCTCTTTGTCGTACAATTCACACCACTCATCTTCTGTGTAAAATACTCTCGAGTACAACCACTTCAGCCCACCGAGCTCCCTGGTTTTCCTCTCCAACTCGCGATTTGCCCGAATGTACTCGACCTCAGAAGACGGATACGGACCCCAGACCCCGACATTGATGTACTCGCCCTGGTATGTCCGTCCGGTTTGCTCTTGCCCGCCTACAGGCCCATCGAACTGTCTTGGATGGCCCATCGACACTCGGCCATCCTTGCGCAATGGACACAACCACAGCGGGTAGATCCCGAACTTCTCATCCAGATAATCGACGAATGCCTTTGCGCTCGCAGCTGGGAATGCAATGTCTTGGATTATGTACCGATCTGTGTATCCTGATGCGTGCAACGCATGATACATGATCCTTGTGTGCATAAAGTAGTCCAGAAGTACGCGAAAAATGTACCAGAAAGGTACGAAGAAGTGGTGGTACGCGTACATCCCCATCCAGAAAGCGCCGCGATCGTACCGGAAGAGATAGTCTCCAATGGGCACGAGCTCCGTGGTGGCCTTGTCTGATGAGGTGAGACTGCGAGCGTGTATCCAGAACCACTCGTCCCAAGGCCGTGAGAAGCGACAAACAGGTATCCGTGGGGAAGATGGTTCGGACACCAGACGACCAGACATGATAACCCCCGAGTCCTTCGAGAAGAGCACGCCATCCACATAGTCGTTCTCGCCTTTCCTAGTCTCCTTCTGCAGCACATCCATCGCCTCTGCACTGGACGCGGTGGGATAATATGTGACCTCCACCCAGCTCTTCAGGGGCACAAGCATGACTTCCACCAGCGTCAACACGCCCAACGTCCCAAAGCTCCCTCTCAACCCGTCGAAAAGCTCAGCATGTTCCGTCGCCGAGCATTTCACAAGCGTCCCATCAGCAAGCACGACCTCTGCTCTTACAACCGTCCGATCGAAGAACCCATACTTGAAGCTACTACTCTCACCCGCAGTCCCGACGAAGCCTCCTCCAACAGTGATGCCAGGGAACTCCATAACGACCGGCGGCAGGAACCCTTGAGCTGTTGTCGCAGCGACGAGGGCGTCCATGGGTACGTTTGGCTCAACAATTGCAGTTTGGGTAGAGGCGTTAATGGAGAGGATGTTGTTGAAGGACGAGACGTCGATAATGGCAAAGGGGTCGAAGGAGGCATGTCGCGTGCTATTTGTGCTGCCGTGGTAGATTCGGAAGGGTGTTGAGGTGCTATGGAAGTGGGCGATGCGGGACTGGAGGGTTGAGACGCGGCGGTCGTGGGCTACGCAGTCGGGCATGATTCTACCGCCCATTTTGAACTTGCGTCCCTGTAGTGATCCAACTCCTGTTAACGGTAATGCAATTGATTTTGTGTCTGATACTTTGCACTTTTCGGTGGCGTGTCTGGTGGCTAGTATTGGTGGCTCGTTCGCGCTAGAGGGTCGTACTTGCTGTGAGGTGAATGCGGGGATGCAAGTCGTGCGATTACTGAAGCTGCTCAAGCTTTCCTCAGCTTGACGTTTACTTCTGTAACCTGTGTCTAACCCGTCACCTCCCTTTCGCTCTCAATGCTCGGCGACGCGAGTTGAGACTGTGAGTCTCGTCGGCATACGTCACCAATTTTAGCGGGGCTTTTGCTCCGGATCTTCCGGCAAGGACAGCTCTGTCGAAGTACGCAAACGCGTCGAAACGCGTCAAACGAAGCTGATGAGGATGTATATCAACGCTCGTTCAGCAGCGACGGAGTGAAGGAAATGGCGGTCTAGCACGAGTCGTAGACGCAACGTGTGTCCATTGCGCTTCAACAAAAGCAATACGCTTGAATACGCATTGACATGCAGCCGAGCTTCCGCAGTCAGACGGAAGGAGAGTTCGATAGCTCGGAGTGTGGAGTACGCTCAGCCCTGCGCGCTTATTCGAGACATCAACGACACCAAGTCAACATATGCTCCTCATCCTCATTCCCATCTTCGCCTCCCTTGCTGCCCTTATCTCCCAATATCCCTCATCGTCATCGCTAGCATTTGCAAGAGATGGAAGAGCATAAGGCAACAGTCGCGACACTTGCGTCGCAAGTCAAGCAGTTCAGCGCATCGAAGACACCGTTCCGGATATATCATGGCTCAACATTGTCGACACGCCACTCGCCTCGCCAGCGTAATCAGATCATCGATGTCAGCTCGCTCAGCCACGTTCTGATGTTCAATAAGGCGGAAAGAACAGTCCTTGTTGAGCCCAACGTGCCCATGGACAAGCTAGTAGAAGCCACACTTGCTCAAGGGCTGTTGCCAAAAGTTGTCATGGAGCTACCAAACATCACAGTGGGCGGTGGGTAAGTCAGATTGGTCTCACGCATTACCTCGCCAAGGGGCAGGCCACTTCAGGCATCTTATTTGGAAGGAGCCAATATCATAGAACGTAACTAACACGATGCTTGATATACAGCTTCGCAGGAACGAGTGGAGAGAGCAGCTCGTTTAGACACGGCCTCTTCGACCGCACCATCAGAGGGGTCGAGATCATCCTGGGAAACGGCGACGTTATCTGGGCTTCTGCTGAAGAGCATCGAGATCTGTTCTTCACCGCAGCCGGGAGCTGTGGTAGTCTCGGAGTCATTACACTGCTCGAGATGGAGCTCATCGACGCGAAGAGCTATGTTGAGCTGGAATACATCCCAGTGAGCAGCAGCCAAGAGGCCGTAAAGCAACTACAACACTACCAGCACCAAACCGACGTTGCTTATATGGACGGAATTCTCTACTCCCTAACAAGCGGCGTGATCATGATCGGCCGCCTCACAAATCAAATCAGCTCTGGCAAGATCCAACGCTTTGACCGAGCATCAGATCCCTGGTTCTACATGCATGCAGAGTCCATCCTGAAGTCTCTCGCCCAAACGACCCAAGCGTTTGCTAGGCCCACGACCTACAAAGAATACGTTCCTGTACAGACGTACCTCTTCCGTTACGACCGCGGCGTCTTCTGGTCCGGTCTCCGCGCCTTCAAGTACTTCGTCACGCCCTTCAATGCCTTGACTCGGTACCTGCTCGACCCGTTCATGTATAGCCGCACCATGGTCCACGCACTTCATCGGTCTGGCATTGCCGCACAGACAATTATCCAGGACTTTGCTGTACCTTACGCCTCAGCTTCAGAGTTCGTAGAGTGGACTGATGAGAGGACCGGGATCTGGCCACTTTGGCTCTGCCCCGTCAAGTCCGCTCCACTGGACGAACGCTCTTTCTCGCAAGGGAACAACATCAAAGACGATATCATCCTCGACGTTGGCATCTGGGACATGGGTCCGAAAGACAGCCACGCATTCATCAAGCTGAACCGCGATTTCGAGCAGAAAGTCACGGAGCTAGGTGGTATGAAGTGTTTGTACGCACATGCATACTACACGGAGCAAGAATTCTGGGACATCTATGACAAGGATAAGTATTTGGACCTGAGAAAGAGGTACCACGCTGAGAATCTCCCAAGCGTGTACGACAAGGTCAAGGTCGATCTTCAAGGCGTCGCGGGTGGACAGACGGTAAAGCAGCGAGAGAACTGGAGCGAATGGGCATACAGGCAATTCTGGGACACTTGGCCGCTGGGAGGATTGTACGGAGTTGCGAGTGCGACGAAGGGATTCCTGGTCAAGAGTGACTTTTTGTTGAAGAAGTAGATGGTTGGCATGTGATAGATGCACGATCAAGCCAATTTTCGATATCTGATTCTCGTCCGCTACGACTGATGCTCTTATGGTCTGGTCCACTTATGAGCACACCTGGTTGTCTGAGGAACATCTGGAACTCTCCAAGCCGTACACGGCACCTCGACATCATTTCTGCCGGCTGAGGCTCACTACGTGGAATGTGGCGAAGGAAAGGGTCTCTCTGACGAAAGAACTGGATCTGTGCCGTCGTAAAATGAGAGATCGTCACATCAGCGAGATCATCTCCGCTGTCGCAGGGTGCCCCTTGCCGAGCCTGGACATGTGCCTGGATTGAGAGTGCTCGCTTCTCATTGGCCCAAGCTAAGCTGTCAAACGGTCGTGGAGAGTTTCTGCAGCGCGTTATGATGACGTCGCACGCATTAACAAGCACACAGTTCGCGCAGCAAAACTGCTGCAACCTGCGAAACACTTGCATAGAGACTACCGGTGTTACCACTTTTACTTTTCGACTGTCCAGACACGAGACCGCGTGAAAGAAAGACGCGTCTCGACCCCTGCCTGAGACAGCAAACATCCTGGTTCTTGGTACAGGTTGACGTAGCGAAAACCTCTCCACGCCCAGCCACCGCAATTCACCAGGCAGCCCGCCGCCCAGTGATCAAGTTGTGATCTCACCAATTTCACCAGGCAGCCCCTCTCTGCTCTTTCCCTTACAAAACCTTCTCGACCAGCACCCTGCGATCGTTCCTGCCGTACAACCGGTCCCCACTCCACCTCAGCAGCCCACGCTCAACCACGAAAACGCTTGGGCCAGAACACCAGCAAAACACGGGGCGCTTGACGGTCAACGTGTAGCTGTAACAACTTTTTGTTTCTTGAATAGGTACGCACTTCTGACGCGTGGGGACCACTGTTGGAGCTTGCTGAAGCTGCTGGGACTGACCTTACCGAAGACGACACGACACGACACGACACACATCGCTACCATGGCTCGCCTTAGCGGACTCCCCAGCGAGCACCACCACGAAGGTCCCGGTGACGCGCCACGACGCAGGCGGGGTCGCCCGTCGAAGAGCTCACAGAGCGCCCAGGAGGAGACGACAACAGTCACAACAGTCACAACAGGCAAGCGCGCTGCCTCGCCGCTCGCGTCGCAATCACAGACAAAGCGCACGAAGCGCGTGCAGACGATTGTCGAGGAGGAAGACGACGACGACGATGGCTCCTCGCAGCTTGAAGCCGAGTTCAGGCAATCGGTCACGCGCACGCAGCATCCTGTTGATGCCATCCCTACCGAAGTGCAGTCGTCGCCCATTGTGCGCCGCACCCGCCGCTTCTCAGAGCCAGTCGTGACCGCTCAAGATGAGGAAGACGACGACGACATGCTGGCTGGCCCCTCCACACAGCCTCTCGCGGGTCTGACACCACATCTCGATCGCCTCGGTGCCGCCCGCGGCAAGTTCGCCAGCCGCCGGCGGGAGCGTATGTCCATGCCCGCTCAGCTCCACGTTGAACGCATCGACGATGCCGATTTCAACGGCCACCGCTTCCAATACGCGCCTCTTACAGCCGTGCTCGATGGCCGCACCCGCCGCCGCCTTCGACGCAGCCATCTTAGCCAGGAGGTCAATGACATCGAAGACGACAGGAAGCGCGGCAAGAAGCAGCTGTTGGAGCTGCGCCGTGAGCTGAAGAAGCGAGACGACAAGATCCAGGATCTCGAGTTCCGCCTGGAGGCAAGTCGCTTGGGTAACATCCAGATGAGCGACGCCGATCACGACGACCTGGCGCAACAACTGGAGGATGCACGCAGGGAGCTTGACGAGCTCCGCAACTCCGAGGCATACATGGGCTCCAGCGACCGCGATCTCAGCCGAGAGCTCGATGGTTCTGCGGAACCTTTCGAGCACGACGACGACGATGACGAGCTCATGCTAGTCGACCCTGAAGACCTACACGTTTCCCAGGACCTCGAGATGGAGTACACACCCAACGGCCGATACGCATCACGCGTGTTGGAATTGTCACAAGAGGTTACTCTTGAGCACCTGCCTTCCATCAGCCAGTTGCGCGTCGACACATTGGAGGATGATGATGATGTGGACGTTCCCCACACCATCCCCGACCAAGCCGTCGAGCGATACGAGCGCGAGATCCAAAGGTTGACGCAGGAGATGGCCGAGTCTGTCGGCGCCCTTCGTGTCATCACAATTGAGATCCAGAACCTTGGGTACTTGAAGAGGGGCGCCAGCAGCACCGACGTTCTCACTGCCCTGCGCAACGGCTTTGCCGACCTCCGCGCTGCTGTCGAGAAGTTCTTTCCCAACGAGACCCAGGGCATCACGAACGAGCAACTTCTTCGTAAGATCCCCAAGCTCTTCAGCGGTATCTTCTACGAGCTGAAAGAGAAGACCGATCTTGCTGCCAGTTCGCAGCAGAATGAGGTGCTTCTGCGCCGCCAGTACGAGGGCGTCTTGGATCTGCTTGGCGAGGCGGAGGAGCGCAAGGCGGAGCTCGATAAGAAGGTTTACACACTCGACAAGAGCAACGAGGAGAAGCAGCGCACGATCGTCGACCTTGAGGAGCGTGTTCAAACCTTGACAGATCTAACAGAAGACCAGGAGGCGGAGCTGAGACAGAAGGACCTCCAGAATGACACCCTGGTGGAGCAATTTGATGAGAAGGACAGCGACCTCGAGCGCCTTCGCGAAGCGCTCGATGCGTACCGAACCGACCTCGACAAGCTCACGAAGACCACCGCTGAGGTCGAAACCGAATACCAGGACCGTATCGCGCGCATGGAAGGAGAACATGCGGATATCGTCGCCGATCTCCAGGCGCAACTCGGTGTTGAGCAGGAGGGTCGTGAGGCTGCTGAGGATGAGGCGGCTCAGAAGACCGACTTCATCGAGGAGCTGCAAGGTCGCGTTGACCAGATGGAGGCCGACTTTGGTTCCATCGACGCTACACTCGCGGACCTGCGCGAAAAACTTGCCCTCGAAACAGCCGCTCGTGCCACTGCTGAGACTGAGCGTGACGAGCAGGTCAGCCTTGTCTACCAGCACACCAACACCATCGAGAACCTCACCGAGACAATCGCCGACCTTACCGAGCAGCTCGAGGCAGCGAAGGCCAACATCACTACCGAGCGTGAGCAGCGCGAGACTACCGAAGCTGCTCTTGACGAAGCCAACGACAAGATCGAAGAGCTCAACGATAAAGCTCACCAGCTTGGTATCCAAACCAACGAGCTCCGTTCCAAGCTGTTCCAGATTCAGCAGGAGAAAGAGCAGGAGATCGCGGATCTTACAGCTGCAGCCCAGGAGCGCGAGAATGAGCTTACCGAGCAGCTGAACACTGAGCAGGAGCTGCGTGAGGGTGCACAGCAGGCGATAGCTGCTCTGGAGCAGCAGCTTGCTGTGCTGCAGGAAACCCTGGCCGCATCTGAAGCTGATCTCGCTAAGATGACTGAAGCTCGCGACCAGCTCGAGGAGGACCGCGAGATCCAGGTCAATAACCTGAACAATGAGCTCACTGAGTCGGAGGCAAAGCGTGCCGCGCTCGAGAGCTCGACCAGCTCTGAGATCACCTCCCTGCAGGCCCAGATTACAGACCTTACCAATGAGCACGCCCGTAAACAGGCCGAGATCCAGCGTCTTGCTGAGCGTCTCATCGAGGCCGAGCAGACGTACGAGGAGGAGAAGGCCACATTCAACGCCAACATCGAGACCCTCGAGCGCGACCTCGTCGAAGCGCAAGCAGACAACGAGGCGTATCGTAAGGAGAACGAGTCGCTCTCTGATCGCGTCGGCCGCGAAGCCATCGAGCTCCTCAACATTACCAACTCCCACGCCGATGAGACAGGCGCTCTGAAGGTTGTCATCGCAACCCAACAGGATACCATATCCGAACTTCAGAACCAGAACGCCAACCTCGCGACTAAGCACAATACTATCCTTTCCGACAAAGACGCTCAGATCGAGGAACTGCACCTCCTCGCCGACGACCGTGCAGAGAAGCTCGTCCAAGTCGAAGCCGCCCGCCTAGACGTTGTGAAGGAATTCGCCAAGTACGAGCAAGACACTCGCGAGACTATCGACCGCATGACCCTGCAGCAACGCGTCCTACAAGAGCAGAACGAAGCGCTTGCCGAAGACCTCAAGAAGCGCGGCGCCGATGCCGTCGCCGCTGTTCGCGCAATGAAGATTCAGGGCCTCGAGGTCAAGACCAAGGGTGTGGACTTGCATCGCGTTGCGACCGGCAAGGTGGGCAAGATCACTGAGAAGGTCAAGGTTGGCAAGAAGAGCAAGGGCGTCCGCAAGGTTGCGAAGAGGCAGTGGGATAGCGGATTTGGTGTTGATGAGAATGTTGAGGAGGAGATTGATAGTGCGGAAGTTGGCGAAGCAGCTTAGACTTTGTCGTCTGAGTATGCGTTGATGATGTTCTATATGGCTGTGCAGCGCTTCAGGTGTTGTTGACAGCGTTTCTTTGGATCAGTTTGTCTTTGGATATCCACGCGGGCTGTTGGATACATCACATCTTTACACGACTTGATGATAGCTTTTCTTGGCCTGAGAAGTGTTCGCTACATGGCAGCTACACATGGGGTGAGTTTTCCTTGCATAGCGCGGCGTGTTTCTGGATACAGTTTGGATACAGTATGGAAAACGGGTATTTGGTAGTGTAGATAATCTCATCGTCATCTCATCCTCCTCCTTCCTCGATTCTTCAAAAGGTGCGCCTGCCCTTTCCTACCAAGTTCAGCCTGAACAACACCGTAACAACCTCACATGCCTGTAGTCTTTACGACACTCACTCGTCTCCAGTCTCCATCAATAACCACTCCAGTCATGCCAGTAGAGCACAGTCTACCGTTCGAGCGCAGCCTCTTCATTGTCACGCCCAACGCCATACACCTACACTCGCAGACTGGCGCAAAGATCATCTTCGAATGCGAAAGCACCGATGGCATCATCAATGCTCGCGTGGCCGCAAATAACAGCAGCCTCCTTGCGGTTACAGACAGTCAGATTGTGGTCCTCCACGATACAACACGAATACGAGTGAAGAAGCACAAGCTGAAGGGTGGAGATGTAAGTAGCATTGGTTAGGTCAATATAGATGTATACTAACCCTAGACACAGGCCACACCACGTTTACTGCTGTTCTCGCCAGACTCGCGTACCCTCTTCTTCACAACAACGCTTAACACATCAATCCAAGCTTACTCTCTCCCGACCGGTGACCTGTTACCCTCGTTCCACTCGCATCCTTCACCACCAAACGTCGTGGCAATTTCAAACGATGGCGACGTCCTGCTATCAGCTTCACCTTCGCCACCCACCATACTGCTGCAGAATCGGAGGTGGGCTGGCTTGGCTGCGGTAAACTTCAAGCCCACGGATACGTCATCAGCCCTTACTTGTGCAGCCTTCCAAGCCTTCGACGGAACGCCACAGTCATCGTATATACAGTTTGTACTTGGGTTTAAGGATGGTATACTGGCGATGTACAAAGTATTTTTGCCCTCGCTCTCTCAAAGCCGACATGCACCACACGCTGACCAAATACTGGACTTTCAACTTCAGCCTGTCAGAGTTGGAGCTATGAGCAAGCTACACAAAGCAGCAATGGGTGGCGTCACAGCAGCTGCCTTCATACCGGGCTACAAGTCAAGAGTAGTTAGCATCGGACATGATGGACGGTGCAGACTCGTCGACTTCGAAGGTGGCGAGCAGAAGCTCAGGACCTAGTATGTCTCTGGACCAGCGACTTCACTCTCCGTCACCACAAGCGAGTCGATCACTTCGAGAGGCCGGCGAGACTGCGCTGTTCCGTTCCAGGGCGACGCAGCTGACGAACAAGAGACAGCGTACGAAGGTGTCGAGACCTTGGTTGCGGTGGGTACACAAGCTGGCAAGGTTTTGGTGTTTAATGTCTTGGGTCTAATGCTACATGAGATCGTCATGAATGTACCGATTACATCGGTGGAGTGGATTGGTGACATGTCTGCACCCTCGGTCCTTCCTGTTCGAAACACCCCGCTGTCACCGGAGCCCGGTCCTGTCATTAAAGCGCTGATGGAAGTGGTGGGCGAGATCGAGATCGACCAGTCGCAGCGCACCGTGGAAGAAAAGAGACCATCTGAACAACCAGATGATTTGCACCACCGCGTATCCATCGAACGACCGACAGTCTCATTTTCCGACAAAGCCCAAGAGCGGACGCCAGATCGCTCAGCAGGCCGACTGCCGAACGTCTCACAAGCTTCATCCTCAGGCTCACGTTGGATGGGACAGTGGCCCCGAACAAACATCTCTGCTCGCTCACAGATTGAGACAACGAAGCCCGGTTCCTTATCAACCTCGTCTCAGCCATTCAGCAACAAAAATTCGACGGGCCGCCCGGGCAACAGTAACATATCGATCCGAGAAGCACGTAGGTGGCCCCAAATCAAACATATTCCAGTAGTCGCATCGCTTCGCGCACGACGAGCCCGCGTCTCCAAGCCATCCTCCCACTCGTCACGTAGACTCGGCTCGTCAGACCAGGATTTCTTTACACCGCCTTCAACCCGTCATCCTTCAACGCGCGAAGACAAAGGTAAAGGCAAGACTGCTAAGAGTATGCACAACCAGGGGGCTTTCGTTGTAAGCGAGAAGAGGCACAAGCCGCTGCGTATTTCGAGCGGCGACAGCTCTTCTCTGTCCGAACATGTACAGAGTAATAAGAGAGATCGGCAAGTCGCGCGCTCAACGGGGAGGCTAGATTCAGGCAGAGCAGAGAAGTCTCGACCCACGGCAGCTGCAACAAGCGATTCTCTTCTTGCTATGCCTTCAACCGAGATGGAGGGTTCGAGGTGGCCCAGCGTGTCGCGCAGCCTTTACTCGCAACCCGCATCTAACATGGTGCAGAACCGACCCACCATCAAGGGCGATGTTGAGGAGCAATCCGGATCGAGTAGCAGAAAGAGAAAATTACTGGATATCTCTCCTGCTCCAACAGCTGAGGCCTCGTCTTCACACGACTTATCGAGCAGTCTGTACTCCCGACCCAAGTCTCGCGTCTTCCGTGGCCATTCAAAGGCACTCGATGGTGGAGCGGACGCTGCCACTCCGATACTCCGGAGCCCAATCTGTGGCTCGAGAAAGAGTTTCAGCTTCGATGCCGGACTGCATGATTTGGAAGCTCTGGCTGAGCAACGCTACACAGATGTAAAGAGAGCTGGTGTGTGGACAGGCGGCAAGCGTGAAGAGATCAGTCGTCTGTGCGACGACAACGCAGCCCTGAAACGGCAGATCTCAGATTTCCGCCACGAGTTCCGGATGCTGAAAGACGTGTTGCTGCAGGCGGAATCGCATTGGCGGTGGCAGGAGTGCGTATCGTGACCTCCCTATAGACATCCTCTTTCTTATCCCTCATGAATGATTTCATATCCATCTCTTCAAATTCCAAAATGGCTTCTTCTCCTTGCCCTCAAGCAGGAACTTATCCAACATCATACTACTCCCTCTCGCCCCACTCATTCCCATCTCCTCATCCGTCCGTGGCCTACCCCCACCACTAGTCCCTCGACTCCCACTCCCATATCCCCAGCTCCCCCTAACACTCCTCCCCTTCTCCAACGCTCGCAACGCCTTTTTCCTCTCCTTCCTCTCCCGATCCCACCGCCGGAAGTCCTTATCTGCTTCGAAGGAGTCGTCAGAGCCTTCGACGAGCACGCCTGCGATACGCCACGAGAGGTAGGTTTGGAAACCGAGCAGAAGGAGGATGAGGATCAGCACAATTAGGATCCCGAAGGTGAGGAAGAGGAAGAGGATTGTTTCTTCGGAGTGAATGTCTTTGCCGTCTTTGTTGTTGTTGCCCATGTCGCCAATCGGTGATGGTGCGTTGTCGAATTGCGGCGGTGGTGGTGGTGAGGAGATTGGTGGATGTGGTGGTGGCGGAGGTTGTCTCCCAGACAGCAGGTGTGTTTGTCGACTCGCGAGTTGCTGCGCTGCGTGCTGCAGACTGTGAACGTTGACCAGCATAGCGGCGGCGTCTTGTTAGTACAAGATGATTCGCATGAACGGGGCGTCCCGCCGCGCGTCGTGGGAGCGTGTCATGTTATGTGGCAACTGTCGGAACGAAGGGGCGTGTGTAACGTGTTTCGCATTTGTTTCGGGTTGATGTGAGGCGCGTGCTTGGGGAAGGTGGATACACATCCCTGGCTTCTAGAACATCAGAGTATTGGAACATGGGTATTTCTCTACATTTTGGGAAGGGAAGGACAGTGACCGGATTGGGATCGGCGAACGGCGCAGGGGTTAGCGGATGTCGCAATACTTTTGGTCTTCGGTTCGCGTGCTTATGTACCGAGTATGAAGCTTCGTGAACTTCCTTGTGATGATTGTTGTACATGCGTTACGAATGCTAATTGAATGTACAACCACCCTCACTTCAGCTTAGCATACTGCTTTCCCCACTTCTCCGCAATCTCCTCCTCACTAAACTTCCTCGTCTTCCTCTTCAACATCTCCACCCTCTCCTCAAACGTCAACTTCATCTGATCCCCCATCGGGACCAGACATCGCGCCAAGTGCTCATAGTTCTTGCTCAGTAGCGTGATGGTCAGCATGAAGTAGTCGATGTTGTAGAACACGAGCGCGTGCTCATCTGAGTACTGCTGCTTTTGCGAAAGGAAGGCGACGGGGTGGTCGCGCCAGTGACGTAAGGGATTGAGGTGGTGGGAGGTGTGGTAGCCGTCGTTGTAGCAGTAGCGGTTGCTCTGAAGCTGATGTTAGCAGGACATACTTTATTGAAGTTATTAACATGGATGACTTACGGGTGCGTCGATCAGCGTGATGCTGGATCGGAAGTCAGAGTCCGGCTCAACCTCGTCCACAAATGCATGCTGGCCCCAGTTGCCAGTCATGAGTGCTATGCGCATGAGCGCAAGTGGGACCAGGAAGACGAAGATCGTGGCTTTCAAGTTTACAAATTTGTACATGGTGTACAAGAAGATGTAGTTGGCGATCTCAAACCCGCCAGCCTTCAGCGCAAGGCCGGTCTTGTTGTTGCGCAAGAAGTAGCGTGGCAGATCGAACCATACCAACAAATAGAAGCGGCCAACATAGTGGAGGAAGTGCAGCACACTGTCGCGTTGATATCGGACAGTTGAAGACAGATCGTTTGGTCCATTACCTTCGATGTGGTGGTGTTTGACGTGGTGGAAGAAGTACGAGTTCCAGGTATGTCCCATCAATGGATCGAATATGTACGGGAAGATGGTATCAACAAGGGCGTACTTCTTTTTCAATACTCCCCTCATATGGATGTGTTGGTGCATGAGCAGGGTGTACGGACCCATGTAGTAAAGCTGTACAGCTGAGTGGAGTACACCGTGCCACCAGTGGAAGTTGTAGAACAGGTACAGTGCAGACGGAACACTGGTGCAGAGGTAAGTGATAAGATGCGTGATCATGATCACATCAGTCTCAGCTCGGACGACACCCTTTGCCCAGCGGACGTACGGGTCGATGATCCATTTGCGCAGGAATGAGTTCTTGATGTCAGGAAGATCCACGGAGCTGAAGACCGTAATTTCGAAGACACCTGACTTAGGGTCGTTAAGGTTCTTTAGGTAGGTGATGGTCTGCTGCTCGCTATCCTGAGTGTCTGTGGTGTGTCAGTCGGATCTTAAAACCTCAGTGCTTCATTCAATCTTACCCTCCGAGGAAGGGGAAACGAATTCTGTACGTTTGGTAGCAGAATCATCCGACTCTTCTGCGGTATCAACCAGCACGGGCTGAGCCTTCGAATCGAATTGCTCATAGTCCTTCTGCAAATGGCCCAACACTAACCTGTCCGGACCTGTAAGGTCGACAGCTGGTGGGAAGTGGAGCTTGCCCATGGTTTGATCTGATAAGACAAGACGAAATCGAACCGCCGGTGTTGAGGTACCAGAAATTATCAGCTGTCGCAAACTCGACCACGCACAAGTCAATGGCTGGACGATGCAGAAAACAATGAAAAACGGCAAGGAAGTAGGGTATTGTAGAATGCTATGCGTCAGAAATGACAACAAGTCGCAGGCGGTGGTGTGTGAGACACCTGTGGTCGAAACATCGGTGAGGAGGGACGCAAGGAGGTGGCGAGACAGGGTCCATGCATGACACGCGGAAGCTGTCTAGCGTCGAAATGAGAGATCCACAGCAGCAACGGCCAGAAGGCCAGAACCTCAACATCAATAATGACCTGTTCGCAGACACTCTTGCTGTCAGTATGTGAAGCTCAAATTGTGGCTATCCTGTCGTGACGCGCTCGTCCTGATTTCCCTGTGTAATCGACTACCGCTGCTTCCTTTCCTCCAACCGCTGGCAATCGCATTGCACAATCGCCTGCAAAGGGCTTTTCTTCCATAGTACGTAGGCAAGAAGTAAGATGCCGATTGCCAATATAGGCAAGACAATTGCAAAACCATAGATACACAGCTGTATTCAAGGCGGCAGAACGATTCGCTGATCGAAGGATACAGTTTTCGGATTTTTTTTTTGAGCAAAGTCAGGATAGGAATGTGAAATGCGAAGTGTTGATATTTACTTCTCTATTAATATATAGATGGTTGTGAACAATGGTACCCTGGGTGAGTCGACGGTATAGAACAGGTTGATGTCGTAGTTGGAAGGTGAGTACCAAGCTTTTGTACCGCTATGCCGCAGTTCAATAGGGTCACCACTCTCGCTTGGTCCCACGCACCATCATCTGGCCTCTGCTTTTCTTGAGTGCACTGTCAATGTTGTGAACTTGGGTAAGGTGCATTCATGGGCCTGGGAGGATGAGAGCCCTGATCAAACCTTGATGATGAAGGGTCTTCACTTGACCGCACTTTTTGTACTGGACTCAGCATTGACTGCTCTCTTCCAAAGACATCCCGAACCCGATATTCTTGCACCATTTGTGGATTCGGTGCAGTACAGGACTGTCTTTGCGTTGATGCAGGTGATACGTCATGGTTGTGACAGTATTGTCAATCTACTATTCGACATAAAAGCCTCATTGAAGTACATCCCAGAACTGGAATGCCCCCGCTTTCAAAAGCGGACCCATGCGGCCACGAAGCTCTTGTTCGCAGCTTTCTCGCCCTTCATGTTGATGTAAACGATCGCCATCAAGAGCTGACTGTCCACGCGGATGAAACCCTCGAAAACGCGACAAAGTCACAGCCAACCACGAGACCAATACACCATGCAGTTCCTGGTGAACGGACAGAAGCTACCTCTTTATTGCTGAAAGCGGGGGCGGATTTGAATATCAAGGCCCGCCACATACAGCACAATCAAGCTCAATATACCACCCTGTGGTTGTGACTGACTTTCATGTCGCAGCACTCTTCGGGCTTGAAGATGCAATGGACGACTTGCTCGGACTGACTTCTGCTCAGCAAGGATCACAGGAACTTCGGAGAAATGGCTTCTACACGCCTTTGATAATCGCATCGTATAAAGTTCATCTACCACTCATGAAGTCCTTGCTCGGACATGGGCCAACTGTGGATGAGGTGGGAGAGTGGGGCAACAGATATGGATATGGGAATGTCACACAGCCGTTGTTTGTAGCAGCGGGGAATGGACCTACACCTATCGTAACATTACTCCTGGAATACAAGGCTGACCTATCCGTAGACAATGACAGATCTTCCAAGATTCCTGTTCTTCAAGTCTCGTGGATGAACTCCGTGGCAGTACCGATGGGGGCTTGAAGGCCCACGAAGATATAGTTGAGCTCATTGTGGATCATATATAGACATTAGAACATGAAGAAAGCTTAATCGCTTGCCAGGGGCTCAATTGGAACACATAACAATCTGCTGAAGGTGCCCAATCGTTGTGCTTCTTATGAGTTTGTTCTATGTTTTACACATCATGGGGATGTTACGATCAAAGGGCAACCCGCAACAACACTGAACGAACAGGACTACGCACCGATACGAGAGGAGCCGAGGAACTGTAGTATCGATCGACCCAAGCAGTGGGCCGCGTCGGCAACACTCGGCACGAGCAGTATACTCGGTACGATCGGTATACTCGGCACGGTCAGTATACTCAACACGAGCAGTACACTCGGTACGATCGGTACACTTGGTACGATTGGTATACTTGGTACGATCGGTATACTCGGTACGGTCAGTATACTCAACACGATCAGTATATATTCGGTACGATCAGTATACTCAGTACCGAGCAATCCGAGCAATCCGAGCAATCCGAGCAATCTGAGCAATCCTCTGCTCGTGTATATAGCAAGTAGACATGCTGCCCTTATGGCATCGTGTTCAACCTCGTCAATCAACTTTGTTATTGGAATCTCACTTGCTCTCGAGCCAGACAGTATACTCTGTACTACTCATTGCAACCAGTCGCCACGGTCTTTGACTAGACGACTACCTGACTATTACGAAGGTGACTGTCAACCCCTACGGCTTTCTGTACCTCTGCTCATCCCCGAGAACCAATCGACTAGTGTCTACGAGCTTTGCTTAAGGCACGAATCGTAACAGGGGAGGAACTTAATGAGTTGTGCCATTACCCAGAGTGGTATGAGAACTGGTCTGCTTGAACAGATTGAGTTTGCCAAAGGACCAAAAGGTTAGGACCTCAATTTTGTACAAAGGAAAACAGTAACGAGCAAGAGCAGAGATCAGGAAATAGAGTACTAAAAGAATTATAATGAGGTGAACAACTTCCAAATCATCTGTGGTTTTCAAAATGTGCGGACCACACCCTATATTTGGTACGCAGGCGGGTACCTGCAGAAGTACCCACCTGGCAAGAAGCCAAGCTGGAGGCTTGGGTAACGGGTAAGGTATATAACGCGGGGCAGACCCTGACCCATACCTTCACGGCCCTTACAGAAGCTACGGATCAGTTATCACGTCACAGACATCATAATGATCGTCATGCTACAGTCTAGCTTTACCCTTTAACTTCTTCACTGCTAACACCTGCTGCTAGCTGGCCAATCAGGTGTTGTGTATTCTTGTGACCTGGGTAAAGCCTTGATGCAATACCATGGGCAGGGGGGGGGGGGGGGGGGAGCGCACATTTTGAAAACCACCGATAATTTGGAAGTTGTTCACTTCATGGTAATTTTTCAGTACTCTATTTCCTGATCTCTGCTCTTTGATGTTACTATTTTACTTGATACAAAATCAAGGTCCTAACCTTTTGGTCCTTTGGCAAACTCAATCTGTTCAAGCAGACCAGTTCTCATACCACTCTGGGTAATGGCACAACTCATTAAGTTCCTTCACGCTCAAATACATGATCTCAAACTCGTCCGATGTAACACCGCCTCCTATTTGTGGCGGTCTCACATGCCCTCTCGCCTTCTGTCCGGTCTTATTTCCTCTTTTGTTCGAATAGAATTCCTTCTTTTTACAGCCCCAAGTTTTCAGCTCAGTCTCATGCTGCAAGCACCACAGAACCACCTCCCTGGCCACAAAATTATCTTCCACAGAGTCATGACCGTCTTTGCCGTTGTCCTGCACAACGGTTCCAAGAAACTCCTTGCACAACATCTTCAGCCCCCACTCCCTTTTTATACCCACGGCCTTTCTAGCCAGCATCGCTCAGTCGACTGTCACATCGTGGCGGATGCCCAATGCCTCAAGATCATAATGGAGCGCGTGACCAGCCAGAACTGTGGCAGAGTCCATATACTTGAAGAGTTCTGTGCGCGCTGCCGGCGAGCCTTCCAGCGTATCCCCGGAAGCTATCGCTGCTCTCATAGTGTTGAAGGATTTAGATGTCAATTGATCCTCCTTCTGGAGCTATGACAAGAATCGATCGGGACTATATAGTAGGAGGCAATAGCAGTGAAGGATGGGAAGCAAACTGAACTAACCAAATGAGCTGGACAGTCACTGCAGCGGACCGCTAGCAAACACAATCAGTGCGGTGGACCGCTAGCAAACAGATGGCAATCGGTAGATACCTTTCCTCCAACACAAAGCCTCTGCAGTGATACCACTCCACTGTGTGCGCCAGTCTGTTACAGTGCTAAGCGGCTGGACGAGTGTATCGACCAAGAGCTCGCCTGTGAGGAAGTCGACGGCTGAGAGCCGAGCGAGCTCTGATGTGGTGGCCTTGGGACCAATGCCAACCATCTCGCAGTTGAGTACTATCGCCTGCCTCTTGAGAACAGCGGTGTCGCGAAGAGGTGCAGTCTTCTGATTTGGGGTCCAGAACTCCCTATCTACACGGGTCAAGGAAGAGACCTCCGGCGTTGGTATGAGGGCTCTAAGCGCTGTCATGGTGGACCCGTACTGTGCGGTTGAGATGGACGACCACCTAGTATCCCACCGAAATAGGGGTACGTGTACTGATGCTCTGATGTTCTTGGAGAGGGAAGGTTGTGCAGGTTTTGGTGCACTGACAGACTTCTTGTGGCGCACGGCGTTCTGGCGACTGTGCACTTTCGGCTTGACAGTAGCAGCTTCCACACTACTCTTTGCCGTTGCCCCCGTCACCTTCTTCCCATGAGTTGCCGATTCCAGGTGCTGCGTTCGTGACTGTGAAGTCTTGAAGATTTTGTTGCATCCTGCTATGGTGCACTTAAACTCTTGCACAACCTGACTTGCCAACGTGCCACTCTGTAGAGGCCCAGAAGCAACATTCACTCCACTGTTTACCGCATTTTCTGGTGCCGTAGATACTAGCGCAGTATGTGCTGGTGAGGACCTGTGACCTTGAAGCGCAGTGCAAGGAAAGCCATGGCTAGTAACCAGGCTATGATCTGCCAAAGCCTTGCGAGTGGCGAATGAACGTGTACAGCTGCTGCGACGATGTGGCTTCGACGGAGATGCCGGTGTCTGTGGAGGCATCCCGAAAGGCTCAGGCCGCAGCGTTGGCAGCTGGAGAGGATGATGTTGTCCTCTAGCGTAGATTGGTTGCTCAGATTGCCAGCTTGCAAAGCAAGCAAATGAAGCTGTTAACACAAACAAGCAGACTGGAGTCTTATAGATCGTCCACTCCACCATGAGAAAGCGCTAGAAGAGCTCACCGGAAACCAAGTGCGCAATCAAAGGCTACCACGTCACCAAGCCTCAGCCTCATGCAGCACCTTGAACATCAGTTTCGTTGGCTCCATCGTTCTTGGTATGCACTTGTTGCGAATACGAAATTCTAGCACCAACTCTTGCTCTCGTCCACTGAGCCTGATCCCAGTGACACCAGAAACAGGCAGAGCAGGCAGCTCATAAAGAATGAGTGCTATTTGTCACCTCTCCAGCAGCATTCAAGAAGCCAAGTCAGCCTCTATCTCCTCCGCCACAGCCTCAACATCCACCTTCTCAATTTTCTTCTCTTCCACCTCCGCCTCCAACCCTCTCAAAACCCTTGGCCCCCTCCTCAAGAAATTCACATCCCCCTGCGGCACAAACCCGACATGCATATACACTGCCCTCGCGGTCGCTGAACTCTCCAAATACATCGGCGTAGGCGGCACTTCCTTATCCGCCTTCTCAATCGCCCAAGTCAACAACCTCTTCCCCACGCCCCTCCCCTGCCACTTAGGCCACGTAATAAGTGTCGCAAGATACCAATGCGGTTCACCCACCACCTTGCTCCTAATCTCATCATCTTTCTCATAATTGCCGCTCCAGGCCTGATCATCAACGTGCGCGAACATTTCATCAACGTCAGCGTCACTCCAGCCCATTTTCTCTTTCCAGCCGTAGAAAGTTATGGCAGAGCGCCGGAAGATGTTGTGCACGGGAAGCGTCGGGCTGGCCCAGCCTGCGGCGCCGATGATTGTGGAGGAGGGGATGTGGACGGCTTTGATCCAGTGCATGCCGGGCTGGGAGAAGGAGGGTTGGATTCTTTTTGCTAGGCGCTGGACACGGGTTTCATGTGTTGGTGGGCGTAGGTGCCGGGGCTCTTTCTTGTCTAACGAGGATTCTGGAAAGCAGGCGTAGACACCTTCGGCCTGGTGGCTATGTTAAAGGTTCGGGGTAAGGAAAGACTGGTTGTTGATGACTTACGATTCGGTAGGCGTCTTTTTCCTCGGCAATTTCGATCTTGATCTCTGCTGATGCGAGCCGCTTTGCTTGGTCGACCGGCATAGTCTGGTAGCTACCCTCTGCCACGGGGACCTTGATGAAGTCTGTCTGTTGCGAAACCATAGCTATCTCTTGCGCTACTGTTGAAGCAAGCTTCTGAACAGTTTATGTTAAGTATGTGATTCGAAGATCTGGTGCGATGTTGGTGATCTAAGAAGTCAGACCATAGGCAGCAGTCAAAGACACATACATTCGGAAGATGAGCGTTTGCCCCGCGGGCACTACGCCATATCGAGCAACCGCTTACTGTGAGTCCTCACGACTCCCCGGTTTGTGAACATGCTCGTGAATCGAAATCGGTAACTGTTGTGAAAGAGAAGTGTCCACATGTAAGACAAATCGAGAGATTGGAAGGTTCTACATTATCATTAGACTACATTACGAACGTAGAATTTCATGGGTATACGCGATGTAAGAGCGAGATGCGTACATGTCGGAGCAGCCGCTATAGGCGAGCGTCGTCTTGTAGTTGTATGTAGCCGAAGCCTGTATAACGTGTGACTGTCACCCAGTGCGACAACGCGAGCAAAATGCGAAAAGCAACAGGATCAAAGTCGCCAATTTGTACAGAATGCAGCGTCAACCGTGACGCTGTGGGTATCAAACGCCATTAATGCAGTAAGTCGTGCATCGTAAAAGAAATGTTATGTCATGATCATGATCATGAAGTCGTCCGCTCAAGGATTCGAGTGGACGAAATGTGCGCCTTGGCATGGCGCGTTGGCCTTCTTGAAGTCCTTGATCCGGCCCAACATCCACCCCGATACGTATTTCTCGTCCTCGCGAGGCAACCGCTGTTCGCCGAGCCTGATACTGTGGGACAGTCTGCACTCAGTGCCGGTGTGTTCGAACTGCATGCACTTGTTGTCTTTCAAACAAGCTCTCTCACAGTTATCGAACGACTTGACGGGCATGCCTTTGGTGTGGATCACATCGTCTGACATGTTCGTCCAGTCATCTGCCTTCCCTTGCAGCCGCGGCTCAACAAGAGTGAACAACTCCTCGAACATTAACGCTCTTTCTGGGTGCTTTCGAGCTTGTTCCCATTGCGAGAGGCCAGTGAAGTCTTCTTCCTGCAGATGATGCATCGTCATGATAGCATCACACCACTGCTCTGGTCCGAACCGCAGTGTTGGGGGTTTGTCGCCATTGAACATTGGCCAGTAACCGCGAAGAGGCACTCCACTCTTCTTCAGCACCTGCGCTAGCATTTCGTCGCCGCAGCAAGACTCGGCCACCTTCTCACCGAAGAAGTGTGTGCCGGGAAAGTGGTGATTCTCTGCAAACATCCTGCCACGTGCCATGAGCTTGTCCAACGCACCTCGAGACAGTATAAAACCACTGCCACCGTGTGCAAAAGGTGCTTTCTTCTTCGGCCAAACGGGTGATCCAAAGTAGTGCGCCGACTTGGGGTTGAAATGCGTCAAAAAGCGGTAGAGGTTGTCGTAGTTGACATATGTATCTGTCTCGATGAAGAGATACCATTGCGAGTCTGGGCGCAGGTACGAGGTCCATTCCATCATAGGCAGGAACTTGTATTTGTCCAATTTCCAGCCGTCCGGCGACTTGTCCGCCGTGTCGTTCGCCGCTTGTATGCTATCGTATACGTTGAAATCGGTGTTTTCCCACTTGTATTCGGGGCGGATGTGGGAGAGGGCGTCTACGACGTCGAACCCTTGGAAGGTGGCCTTGCGGTCGGAGAAGATAAGTAAGTCCTGTTTACAGCGGCCGAGGCGGTTCAGATATGCAGGTAGCTTGGTCGTAGCTTCGCCAGCGCCAATCTTCAAGACTATAGTAACATCTTCCATAACCCCGCTCTTGAAGGGCGAGCACTCCTCTCCAAAGTGTATCTTGGTCTGGGCTGGGCGCGCGGGCGTGGGCCGGTCTTCAAGTATGTCATAGCCACGTTCAACGTACGGAACCAGGTCTCGCAAGGACGAGGACAGGTAGAGGACGCACAATATCACGGCTGCGCACAGCAGGCGCAGCGGCGTGAATCGCACCATGGTGGTGGAGGAGCGAAACCCCATGGCATGGTGGTGGGAGGATTGGAGATGGCGGGCGCAGGCCTCGCTGCACGCGAGATGAAGCTTAGTCCGAGCTAGCCGGCCGTCATTTCGTCACTGGCCCATGCACCAACAGCCGCGGCAGCCTCTCAATTATTCGTTAACGACAATCTTCACTTGCGAAACATCATGTTTTCATAACAGAGAAGTATCCGCTCGCTTGACATGCTGTTGTTGTTGCTTGTTGAGCTGTGACTTCTTACATCTTGGCTTGTTCCTCCTCACCGGCCCAGTCCAATTCCAAGCCACACTCGTCCACGGCCTCCAAACACTCATCAATAGCCTCACGGAAGCCCTGGAACTTCTCCATGACAGCATGCATGCGCCTTAGTACACCACAGTTCTGCAACCCGCCCTCTTCTTCAAGCTGTTTGATGGTATCCTCTAGTGCTTTCGACCTCCCACAGCTTCAACGGACGAGACCAACTGGCTTTGCTCTGGAAGCTCAAGACTAGGTTGCGGATGTTGACTGCAGCTGGGTCAGGGGCCTCTAGGACAGTGTCGTCGCTGCTATCGTCAGATGGTCCGTTCAAAGGTGCGGTGATCGCGGCAACAGATGGAGGCTTTCGACCTCTTACACAATTGCCGCCTATTGGCTGCTTCAACGCTGGCGGTACAGCTGGATGAAGTTGGAGGTCCTCGATGTCTTCGCCGAAAGACTCTCGCTCGAAGGTAGGCATGTCGGCCGCAGATATCATTCGAGTTGATCGTGCCTTCTCCTTCCTGACTTTCTTCACCGAACATCAAGTTTTTGAGGTGAGCATAAGGTCCATTTGTATCGATTTTTGGTCTCATATCATCTCATATGCCTTCCTGAACTTGTTTCTCAATGCCTTTTTGCTACTGCAGGCATTGTGGAAGTCGTGCAGCCCTCTGTTGCTGTGCCTCAGCTCTCTTGAGCGGAAAACTATTCGGTGGTCTGTGTCATACAATCCAGCACTCGGTTGGAGGCAGACAACAGCAGCAGCTCCTCACACGACAGAGCAACGGCTCTCTACACTCTCACACCAACTGCACTCTTTGGAGCTGCTATACCAACTAGTGAGGCTCTCTCAGAGCCTTCACACAACACAAAACACAAGGGCTTAGACCCTCACCATTCCTTGTACGTTCATTGAACTCAACCCCTTGTAACTAAACCCTTACATTACCAGAGGGGCTACTGCTCCTCTCGTCTTCCATAGTCTCAGACTCACATAGGACGTTTAAACCAATCAATCAATCAATCAATCAATCAATTAGGTAAGTATGCCTCTGTGGAGTGATTGAAGTTGGGGCAGCAAAGAACCAAGCCAAAAGGCCAGAGTGGTTGGTGGTGATGATGGGGGTTTGTGTTGTTGGAGGGTTGGGTGTGGCTGGTGGGCTGTGTGGCTGCTGAAGGCTCTGAGGACCGGTTGGATAGGTGATCTGTGCGTAGAACACCGAAAATTCTGATTAAGGAGACCAGCAGGTCTGCACCTGACTGCACACCACAACCACAGGCCTGGAGGCTGTGAAAATGAAGGCAGTGTCTGTTGAGACTCTTTGGAGATGGATTCTGATGATTTTGGGATGCCAGAGGCTCTGGGCAAGCACACTGTGTCGACTGGAAGTCGGTGTTGATCGTGTACCTGGTCGACCTATCAGGCGTTTCAGGGCTCTCACCATGATCATCGACCAGCGGGTACTTGCGAGCCATAGTGGAACGGGGCGAAGTAATCTGTGTTAGAAAACCGACACACAAGTGGAACAGAGCTACCTAATAGGCGAAAGAGGTCGAGTCATCATGCTTGTCGATTGTTGTCTGATCCAGCTGTGCCCATCACGGGCTTGCCGGCTTGATAGCCTCCACAAATTTCGCCTTCACGCCCTTGAACAACTGATCGTGTATCAACTTCCGAATGATAGGCTGTGCATTGTGCTCCTCGAATGCAAGTCGACCGGCATAGCGCTCGAAGAAGTGGAAGACCGTAGGGTCATCGCTGTCTCGACATATGCAGTAGTATATGCAGCCCGGCTCGGAAGCAGCGAGCCGTGTTGTCTCCGCGTATACAGCCTCGAGAGCATCTGCATGCTCTGGGTGCGCATACACCTGTTTTGATGAGATGTATTCATTGACGGCGTTAATGGAACGTACTGTGCCGAAAACGCAGAACTCCCCTTCTGGCACTGGGGGCATATCGGCTAGGAAATCTTCCTTCTGGTATTCTGCTTTGCTGAAGGACATGTTTGCTGCCGTTTCTGTTGTGATTGTCCGGGTAATAGAGCCTCGATCTCGGCACATATGTGGTGAGTAGGAAATTGGGGGTGAGGTGAGGCGCTCTTATGGAAAGCACACCTGCGCTTGTGCCCCACTTGCCGTGCTGGGGCCACTTCGACTCATACTGAGCAATCGTGAAGCTCAACTGAAGTTGCACAGCCTCATATTGTTAACCCTGCGGCGATTGCTGTCAGCCCCACTACATATCTGCGGTCAGTCTGAGAATGCACAATTACACAGCGAACGAGTGACGACTATTTCATTGATGTTGCTGTCACTGATGTCTCAAATGTCAAAACTCAATCCTATGGTGCAGCTGTCCTTATCGTAGAGCGTTGTTGAACTCACAGAACAATGTTCAGCAGGTCCTTCCCCTGGACTAGCCTCTCCAGATTCTCTGCCGTCTCCTCATACCATGTATTCAGTGTGCCCTCTTCCACGTAGCCCATATGTGGCGTCAAGAGTACCCTGCTCTTTCCTTCCGCATCCCAGTCTTCATTGCGCCAGGGGCTGTCTGCTGGCAAGGGTTCAATGTCGAACACGTCGAGTGCAGCGCCTCCTATATATCCACCACGAAGTGTGCCAAGCAGAGCTGCTTCGTCCACCAACGGTCCGCGAGACGTATTCACCAGCAGGCTAGAAGGCCTCATCCACTCCAGCTCTTGAGTACTCACGATCCCCTTTGACCGCTCACTAAGCACGTAATGCAGCGAAACCACATCTGCTGTCTTGAACACCTCTTCTTTGCTAACGACCTTGAACGTCTTCTCGTCATCCGCGATCATGCCTCCTCCCGAGACTGGCAAGCCAGCCTCCTGAGCAAGCTGGTCTGCCTTCTCTTGGGTCAAATTTGCACTCCAACACACGATCTTCATCCCAAATGCAAGCACGCCAACCCTCGCTACATGTGACCCAATCCTCCCCAGTCCCACGAGCCCTAATGTCTTCCCTTGCAAGCCAATCGCCAGTCCAGTCTGCCACGCCTTCGGTCCGCGCTTACCCTTGACAACAGCATCATCCGCAGCCACGTTTCTGGCTAGCGCCAAGATTAAAGCCCATACATGCTGCGTAGTAGGGTGCCCACCGCCCTGCTTCACAGGTAGCGAGCGCAGAGACGGTCCGCTTCCTTTTCCGTCTGTGCGGCCTTTGCCTGACGCCGCGCAGACCGTGATACCGAGCTCTTTCATCGTTGCAAGATCCCAGCTTTCGAACTTGCCGCCTGTTGCGAAGATGACCTTGAGATTTGGGAGTTGGCGGAGTAGTTCCCCTGGAAATGGAGTGCGCTCGCGCATTGTTGAAAGAATTGAGAAGGGGCGCAAGCGCTCGACAAGTGCTTGTCGTTCGGCATCTGTGGTTTTGGGATGAGTGTATGATGGGAGTGTGTCGCTGAAGACTGTGACCTCGACTTGCGAGCTGGGAAGGTGTGAGAAGTGTTGCAGAGCGATGTTGTGGTAGTCGTCCAGGACGGCAAGCTTGATGGGCTGTGAGGACGCCATATTATCGTGACAATCGAATACAGTAAGATGGAGGTAAAGGGAGTATGGTCAGTATGACTGGTGAGTAACAGAGGATATATCCGCCTCGGAAGCATAGCTCGGCACATGCATTGTGGGCGCCAGGTTTGTCATTCTGCAGCAAGAACAGACAACTCTGCACATCTCAATGTCGCCATCCTCTCTGGCAATGGCGACCAGCAGTATTGCGACGGTCAGGCCTTCTTCATGAAGACGAGCAGAACCTTGTAATGCAGCTGGTTGACGTCGCACGCTCCGAGAGCGGGGAAATGTGGGGCCTCAAACATCGCGACTTTCTTACCTCGCTTCTCCAGATCCTCAACCAACTCTATCAAGAGGTCAAACATCCTCAACACCCTTCCTCGTAGAATGTACTATCGTGAATTCAGGCCACTTGTATCGCGAAGATGCCTAGTGCTGACTTACCGAGACAATGTTCGAGATCCGCGTTACTCTGCGCTCGGTACCTGGCGTTCTAGCAGTACCTCATCGCAGCTGTCCGTATAGTGAGCGAATACGAAAGGTTCAGCTCCTTAGTTTAGTGGCTTCGAGACAAAATAAGGGTTTGGGATCAATGCGAGGTCTTGTATAACATTCGACAGCCGCAATTTGCAAGCAAGGGATGGTGTACCACATACTTTTCCCATTCCATCCAAAACCACAACAACTAGCCCCTCTGCGCCGACCCTGCTTCAAAGCCGTCGTTCCTTATCTCTTTCTTTTAATCTTAACTCATTGCTTATCGTACAGGCCGAAATGTACTCACTTTCTCTGCTTCTGGGCTTCACTTCAGTCATTTTCCAGCTACCACACTCCTTTGCAGCTGTTCAGCAGCTCCCACACGAAGTCTACAACGCCACAGCTGTCAACCCACCATCGCTTGTCGTGGCAACTGTGGACTTTACAATAACTGATACCACCGCAACTACTGCCACGACCACAGCTACTACTACCGAGACGACAACGCTGCTGCCACCTCCTCCACCAGTCAGCACGCTCACTGTCATTTACCCCTCGCCAGATGCTGCTCCAGTGGAGGTCACATCCATCAGCCAGGTCGTCACGTCTTACATTCCAGAAGCGACCTTCTGCCTCGGTCCTGCGCTCTACTTTTCTTCGATTGCTGGTGGACCCTTCTTCAATGGATCTGCGAACGTTATTCAGTATGTATCAGGATCAAGCAGCTGCAGCGTGGAATACTCCACAACTACTAAGATCATCTGCGCAACTACGCTTACTGGGCTGGCGTCGAAGGTCACGGTATCAGATTGCGATCAAGAAATTACATTCTCGAGCGAGTGCGGTTACAGCCTGGAGTATCCTACACCAACTGCCGCCACGACTAGCTTCTCTGCGATTATTACACCAGCTCCAACCATACGAAGGCTGACGACGTACTGGCTTGCTCCTTGGCAGTCACTGACAGCCGGCGAGGCACCCTCCGATGTGGACGTGAAAGTCTGCAAAGCGCTTGACAACGGCGACATGCAATGCCAGCGCTATCAAGAAGTATGGGAAGTAGTGGTTGTTGCGTCCACGGTTACGACGTCGTACCCTGTCACCTTTTCGAGAATCGTCTCAGGACCAGGAGCCCTGATCTTCGGTTCGAGCACGTCGTTCATCAACAGCACGACCGAGTTCATCAGCCTTTCAAAGACTCTACTTCTCGAAACAGAAGTAACGATCGAGAGCATCAGCACCAGCACGCGTCCCAGCTCGACGGTCCAGACCACGGAGCAGTACACATCAATCCTGACGATAACTAGACACCTGAAATATGTGCCTAAAAGGTTTGCGAACTGCTCGAAAATCTTAGTAGCTGGCTGACATATTAGCAGCACTCCAGCGCCTACACCAAGCAGTACCAGCAGCCTAGAGCCTGCACCCAGCAGCAGCACGCCGGGGGTTTCGAGCAGCAGCAGTAGCAAGGATAGCTCGGAGATCTCCAGCGCCAGTGGCAGCGTTTCAGAATCCGATCGTATTGCCCAGTCCTTCAGTCGTCCCAGCTCGGAGACGTCAAGCAGCAGCAGCAGTACCCCTGAGTCTACTACGACTGTTCTGGTGACCTCGATCATCACAGAGCGACGCACCAGCACTGTCACTAGGACGAGATCGCGTTCTCGTTCTGGTGCTTTGACTGCCAGTGCTTAAATATACCCACTGAAAGAATTGGAGACCCTAAGGTTTTAAGGATGTTTGCTTTGAAGTACTGAACTGACAGATTTGCGGGCGAAGCTATCGGTGAAGTACTGTATTGAATGTGATGTAGATCGATATCGTTTGCTTCACAGCTCACGTTTACATTTCAATCTTTGCTGTTATAACTGACACGTTTTAGCAAGAAGTCCAACAGCGCACTCGTCCAGGTTTTTGACCCTCGCTCCAGTCTAACCCCGAGACTGTCCATCACCATGTTTCTAATTCTCGCCATCTGTGCCTTCGCTCCCGCGACACATCGCGTCGTTGCACAACCAAGCGAAGACAGCCATTTGTTAGCCAACCCAACTGGAAGATCTGGTTCCATACCCCGTCAACGCGACAGTTTACTCACCATGACGCTCCCGCTGACCGACTCTGAAGACGGTCATGTTGCCATCCACCTTCCTCACACTGCCGCGCTGGGCTTTTGCAGCGACGTCCCTGATGCTATTGATGACAGCAAAAACTCCTTCCCACTCAAGCTCACTATCGCACTCCAGCCAAAGACGTTGCCTGTCAGAGATGAGATCGCTGTCGATTTCTGCAAGCAAGTGCGCAAACATGGCAATATGTCATCGCCAACAACGAAGCAATCAACATCAGTCCTCGAAACGAACTCATCACTACACACAAGCACTCCTCCGTTGGACCTCGAAGAAACAACCTCATCTCAATCAACGAAATCAAAGCCAATATCAACCGTAGTGGTAACCACATATAAGCCCTCGTCAACCGCGTCAATCACGGCCCACACGGCTTTCAGCCTGCCAGATTCGCTAGCTACCCACCCCAGTGAAACAGTTGATCCGGGCCACACGAGCAAGCAGCACCCGTGGATGGAAGCCGTCAACAGCGCGCTGTCAACCGCTGCACCAGTGATGCGTTCGAGCGTAGAACATGTGCCCACTGCCGTAGCAACCTCCGTTGCAAGTAGACTGCACTCTTCTTTCCTTCTCCGACGCTTGACGCCCCATCACTGGAGTCATGCGAAGCGGCATCAAGCACCGCCAGGAAATGCCACTACGAACAGCAGCGAGGAACCCCCAGGCAGCCTTTCCTTCTGCGGAGCTAAGCTACCTGCAAGCAGTGCTAGTAGCCACGTGGGCTCCGACGAGGCAGTCGAATCGGAGCAGAGCAGGCAGTGGTGCGTGGGGCAAAAGTACGATCCGCGCATCAGGAGGGTCATGATTGCGGGATGGGTGATGGGTGGGTTGATGGTGTTGCAGGCGGCGAGGGATTTTGCGAGGAACACCCGGGGTGTATGATGTATGCAGCGGGGGCTGATTCTGTGATGTAGTTGGGATGTATGAGGCAGGCGACAGGCTACCCAACCAAGCTTTTTCTTTCGCATCTCGACCGTTCAGCGGCCATACGCTGGCTGCGAGCATGCAGGGAGCATCGCGCAGGGAGTCCGTGTAGGCTACCATCGATTGCAAACGTTCGACATCGTTCTGACCGACGGCGTGCCACCAACAGTCTGTCAGCCTGTCAGTCTGATGCGTCGTATGCATATGCAGCACTAACCCATGTCTGGGGCGGCGTCCACCAAGGATCTCTCCACGGCGGGAAGCTTCCCCTGGACACGTCCGCCGTCATTGAGGATGCGATGACAGCAGCCCGAACACTGGACTTGCGCTGTCTCTGGGTGGGCCAGTACTGCATTGTGCAAAACGACCCAATCATCAAAACGTGACAGATGCACCATATGGGTCTTCTATACAGTCAGGCTGAAGTGACCACAGTCGCAGCATGTGGGCTGGAAAGCCGCTGGGCTGGAAAGCCGCTGAGCTGGAAAGCCGCTGAGCTGGAAAGCCGCTGAGCTGGAGAGCCGCTGAGCTGAAGTGGAGATGTTCTATTGCGTCTATGTATGCATGCATGCTTCGATGTAAAGTCGTTCCGTGGGGGCGCTGCAATAAATATACGATGCCGTGGTCTATATGCTGGGTATCAACTGCAACGCCTTGTGTGTACACCATCCCCCATCTCACCTTAGCAGGATCTTCTCATGCGCCCGATCGATAGTCACATCCTCGTCATTCTCAAAACTGTATTTCCGCCGCACGAGCTCGAAGACGATGAGCCCTGCGCTCGTGCTGGGCACCTGCCTAATCGTAGCCCCCCAGAAGTCCTTGTACAGATACTTCCGCCACCCGCCCGCTCTCTTGGCCAATGTCTTGCACTGCGCAAACGTCTGCTCGTACGCGTGGTAGTAGCGCCGCATGATCTGCCCGGGCCTACTCTCCTCATGGGCCTGGAAATCCAGCGCCTCAAGACGGCGGTAGTGCACATCCTGGATCTCGGTCAAGGGGTGTTGTATGATCTGCGAAGTGACGCCCGCGCTGATGCCGGCGAGGAGCAAGAACGACGGTTCGAGCGCAAAGTGCGGTTTGATGACCGGCCGGGCATCGTAGTCGTGGTACGCGTCGACGGTCAACGGCTGGGTATCGAGGATGGAATCGCGCGTCCGGGAGCCGTAGTGCCAGGTGACGAAGTGGTAGTAGCCCTGGCTCTTGACAGTTTCGAAGGCGCTGAAGAACACGGCGGCGCCGAGCGCGTCTTTGCACAGCGACAGCGACCAGCCGGCGAATATGCCTTGCAGGCCGATGGAGCGCAACTTGTGCCCGGCGTAGTGCCACATGGTTTTGTACTTCCCATCGAGGATGTCGGCGGTGCGGAAGCGGGTCTGCAGGGCGTCGAAGGGCGCAGCGACGACGGATTGGAAGGCGCCGGCTACAAGCCCAGCGGTGAATGTGGTCGAGGGAGGCGGGGGTGGGTAGACGCGTTTTGTCTGGTAGGACGAGGGTCCGTGGAGGCTCGACAGACTGTGCAGGTAGGCAGTGTAGAGCACGGCGCCTATGCAGGTGTTCGCGAGCAGAGGCGGTAGCACCTGGTTGGGTACGAAGCCCCAGCCTTCGGTACGTATGGCGTGGGCGAGCACGGCAGGCGTCGTCATCCTCCAGCTCCAGCGTGCGTCGGCGGAGATGTGGGGGTTGATGGCTCGCGCATAGCCCATGTAGTCGATCCGACCGCGGAAGAAGGCCTTCACTGGGGCGCGGAAGTAGAAGGCGACCATGCGCGCTGCCACCGCGCGCATACCAGCCGCCTGCACGCCCGTTGCGGGCGCTTTGTTGGGCTTCTGGGGTTCGAGGTCGTCGCCGGCGCCGTCGCCGGTGCCGTGGCCGCGGAGGGCGACCGGCAGGACTCCAGTGCGTCCATTTGCACTGGGACTGGCTGTCATCGCATAGCGGGGCGGTGCGAGAGGCTGCTGGCTCTCTGCGGCGGGCGGAAGTGAGGTTGGGCGGGGGACAGGTGAAGGTGCTGCACGTGGGCCCGTCACCAGTCACGTCGCAGCTGTCCGCGGTTCGATTCCTGGGGGTGGTTTCGGCTGCCGGCGCTTCTCGGGCTCCGCGAACACGTTAGTCTCTGCGATCGTCTCTGCGATTGTCGCTGCGATTCGACGAAGATGCGATCAATGGAGATGCGATCCAACCAAGATGCGATTCAGCGACGGTCTCGGCGGCCTCCAGGGCCGTGGATTCACCGTCGAAGTGGAAGGTGGGTCCTCCGCGTGGGGAAGCTTGGGCCGGCTCGCGGTTGCCTTGGCGCGGAACGCGCTCGCGTTTATCCATGGAGCACGGCGACGTCGACTTCTTTCGCCGCCGCCCTCTCACCCCCAACCCGAACCCGCTTCGAACCAACGTCCAGCTGCCGAAGGCCGCCGCGCTCTCGCCTTTCGCAATCATGGCTGACGACATCGTCATCGACAAGCAGCTCTTTCACGACCGGCTGGGCAACTTTGTCGCAAAGTGGAAGGCCGACAAGCGCTCGGGCGATGCCGTTTTCCAGGGCGCCGGCTCCATCGCCACGGTCGTTGGCAAGGCGAGCGAGCCGGGCAGCTACCTGAAGCCCGCAGCTTTCCAGGTGAGACGAACAAGGGACCGGCCACCACAACGGCTAACAGCGCATGTCTAGCTGTGGCTGCTAGGCTACGAGTTCCCTGCAACGCTCTTCATCCTCACCCCCGACCTCCTCCAGATCGTCACCACAAAGAAAAAGGGTGCGTCGTGACTCTTCACACGTCGGGGAGGACGCTGCTAACAAAGCACGCAGCCTCGTACCTCGAGCCCCTCAAGGGCGGCAAGGTGCCCATTGAGATCCTCGTGCGCGGCAAGGACGCCGAGGAGAACAAGAAGCAGTTCCACACATGCATCGACACTCTCAGGAACGCCGGCAAGAAGGTCGCCGTGCTCAAAAAGGACAGCTCCACGGGCGGCTTCGCAGACGAGTGGAAGGCTGCGTTCGCCGAGGCCGGCGTCAAGGAGGACGACCAGGTTGATCTGGCGTCTATCCTCTCGCAGGCCGCCCTCTCTGTCAAGGACGAGAAGGAGCTGGTAGGCGACACGAGACGGCGTGACAATGCGAGCTTCGCTGACGTGTCTAGCGCACCATCCGCGACGCTTCCCGCGCATCGAGCGCTCTCATGACCAACTACTTCGTCGAGGAGATGTCCGACATCCTCGACTCCGAGAAGAAAATCACCCACCGAGCGCTCGCCGACAAGGTTGCGAACAAGATCGACGATGCCAAGTTCTTCGAGAAGCAAAAGGTCTCCAAGAATTTCGACGCCATGCAGCTCGACTGGTGCCTGCAACCTACGATCCAGAGTGGCGGCGCATACGATCTCAAGTTCGCGGCCGAGCCGGACGAGAACAACCTGCACGCCGGCGTTATCATCTCCGTGCTCGGTCTGCGCTACCAGACATACGGCGCTATGGTCGGTCGAACGTACATGGTCGGACCCAACAAGGAGCAGGAGACGGCGTACAAACTGCTCTTGGCCATGCACGATTTGGTCATCAAGTCGATCAAAGACGGCGCAGTTGCCAAGGACATCTACAACAAGGCCCTCTCGCACCTGAAGTCGAAGAAGCCGGAGTGGGAGAAGCACTTCCCCAAGAACGTCGGGTACGGCATCGGCACGGAGAACAAAGACAACTCCCTGCTTCTGAGCGGCAAGAACGTGCGCGTTCTCAAGGACGGTATGACCATTGTCGTGCAAACGGGTCTGCAGGACCTGGAGAACAGCAAGCCGCAAGACAAGAAGAGCAAGACATACTCCCTCGTTCTCGTGGACACAGTTCGCGTTGGGCAGGGCGATGCTTCTGTCTTCACCAAAGACACCACATCTGATCTGGACGCCGTTTCGTTCTTCTTCGACGACGAGGAAGAGGAGGCTAAGCCGAAGGTCAAGAAGGAGCGCGCGCCGGCGATCGCACAGACGAACATCACCAAGACACGCACGCGACACGAGCGAACAACCAACCAAGACGCCGAGAAGGAAGAGCAGAGGCGGCAGCATCAGCGCGAACTTCACCAAAAGAAGCAACAGGAAGGCTTGGAACAGTACAGCGAGGGCGCCAAGTCTCTCAACGGCACCGAAGAGAAGAAGTTCAAGCGCTTCGAATCGTACAAGCGCGACAACCAGCTGCCAAACTCGGTCGCGAACCTGGAGATTGTGGTGGACAAGAAAAGCCAAACAGTCATCCTGCCGATCATGGGTCGCCCGGTTCCCTTCCACATCCACACCATCAAGAACGCCTCCCACACACCCGAGGCTGATGTCACGTCACTTCGTATCAACTTCCTCTCCCCTGGTCAGGGCGTCGGCCGAAAGGACGACCAGCCCTTCGAGGACCCCAATGCCCACTTCATTCGCAGTCTGACTTTCCGCTCTCAGGATATCGACCGCATCGACCAAATCACCAAGGACATCACTGAGCTGAAGAAGGAGGTCGTACGACGAGACCAAGAGAAGAAGCAGCTGGAAGATGTCGTTGAGCAAGACAAGCTCGTTCCCATGAAGACTCGCAAGCCCTTCACTCTCGATCTCATCTTCATTCGACCCGCACTCGACGGCAAGCGTATTCCCGGTAGCATCGAGATCCACCAGAATGGTCTGCGATATGTCCACGGTGGTGGCAGCGCGAGGATTGATGTTCTCTTTAGTAACATGAAGCATCTGTTCTTCCAGCCGTCGCAACACGAGCTCATTGTCATCATCCACGTCCATCTCAAGAACCCCATCATGTTGGGCAAGAAGAAGACCAAGGATGTACAGTTCGTCCGTGAAGCTACAGAAATGCAATTCGACGACACAGGCAACCGCAAGCGCCGCCACAAGTTTGGTGACGAAGAGGAGTTCGAGCAAGAACAGGAAGAGCGCAGGCGACGAGCAGCGCTCGACAAGGAGTTCAAGAACTTCGCCGAGAAGATCGCAGATGCCGCACGCAACGAGAACGTCAGCGTCGATATCCCGTACCGCGAGCTTGGCTTCAACGGTGTCCCCGCTCGGTCCTCCGTCCTGATCCAGCCGACAACCGACTGCTTGGTCCAGCTCACAGAACCTCCCTTCACATGTCTTACGCTTTCCGAGATTGAGATTGTCCACCTCGAACGTGTGCAGTTCGGTCTGCGAAACTTCGACATGGTCGTTGTCTTCAAGGACTACAACCGCCCACCTGTCCACATCAACACCATTCCCGTCGAGTCACTCGACCCCGTCAAGGACTGGTTGGACTCTGTCGACATTCCCTTCAGCGAAGGCCCGCTCAACCTGAACTGGGCCACCATCATGAAGACCGTCACCTCCGATCCGCATCAATTCTTTGCCGATGGTGGCTGGTCGTTCTTGTCGACGGAGTCGGATGACGAGGACGGCGACGAAGAAGAGGAGGAGTCTGCGTTCGAGGTCTCGGAGTCCGAGCTTGCGATCTCGGATGAGTCGTCTGAAGAAAGTGACTTTGATGAGAACGCTTCCGAGGAAATGAGCGACGAGGGCTCGGAAGATGACATGTCAGAAGGCGAAGACTGGGATGAGCTGGAGAAGAAGGCGGCGAAGAAGGACAAGGAGAGCACACTGAATGACGAGGATGAGAAGCCGAAGAAGAGGAAGCGCTGAGCCATACAGCTTATTACTTTGTCAATCAGCCGATTTTTTATTTTCGCTTCCTGTAAGATTGAGGGCACTGATGGGTCAGCGTTTGGAGTTCCTTAGTATAGGTATCATCTGAGGTGATATCGAAAGGTTTTCGCTTGTTCAGGGTGAGGTGTCCACATTTGATCAACCGCTAACTGTTGTACATGACTTCCGACTCGAGGCGCTCTTGAAGCGCCGAGGAATGCATGCTCTCTCCCGTGAGAGGCAACTGCTGCATGTGCAGTAGCGTCCCTGGCTCTACATCGAAGATCTTTCGAACTTCAGTCGTTGGCTGTGGGCTTGCGAACAACAACTTGATCCTCGCTCCGCCACGACTTCTTTCATCCACCAAGTTCAGCAGCGTAAGAATGATGTCCTCGACTTTCTGCAGGTACTCCTTGTCTTCGTACTCGTTGATGCTGTCGATTATGCAGAGGATGGTCGTGGCTGACGGCAACTGCCTTACCAGGACATCAAACAGGGCGCAGAGCGCTGGCATGTCTCCACGCGCGACTTGATCCATATCGATGCCAGCATCCGAATCGATGAATGGCTGTGAATATTGATGGAGTAGTTGCGCCACAAGACTCCGGATCATCCACACACCACCCGAGTACTCGTCGCCTAGCAGATGAGATCCGCAGAAGAAGATCAAGCCGATGTTACCGGGCGTCATACGAAAGGCCTGCGTAAGCGTGGCACACAGCGCCGAAAACGGCGTCACTCTGTTCGTTGTGTCGAAGTCGCCGTGCACTAGCAGTTTGGTAGAGCCGGAACCTAGCAGCCAGTCTCGAAAAAGGGGGGACGAGAGGACTTGTTGGGCTCGGCCACGATCTTCGAGCATCAAGTCTGCGTCACTGTGGAAGACTTGCTGTAGGTCCACGATGTCGATGTCTGGAATGTACATCTGGCTTCGGAGATAATCGGTTGACCACTGTACATGTTGCGGAAGCATTGGCGGGTTAGGGGTTGTTGAGCGTGAGCTTGCTGGGGAATGAGGAAACCATACACCTGCATAGAAGGGGAGGTTAGCGAGGGTCACATGTGGGGTTCTGTAAATGAAGGCGCTTACCTTGATTAAATAGGTCGAGTGCATGATTGAAGAGGCCAGCGAAATAGACATTATTTGTCTCGATCCTGCCTAGGGTCTGTTGCATGTCCCACATGCTTTGTCGCGCTTGATCGCCGTCTAATGGGACCGTTAGCATGGCTGTTCACAAGACAATGAAGAGAGGTTACCCACTAGCCATCATATGATACTGGAACGACATTTCTGCCTGATTGCTCAGAGCAATCGAACGGGCTTGCATGTCTTGGAGAGCTTCGAGCAAGTCCTGCTGGTAATTATCACCCTTTGTCACGGCCTTGCCAAGGTGTTTTACTGCTGGATCATTAGAACTTGTTGGTTCATGAAAGGTGGTAAACTTACCTTGAGCGCTGACATAGTACTTCACAGATCCTTCGACTGCCTTCAGAGTGGCCTCAACGAGATTGACAGAGGCTTGAATGATATTTTCATCCCCTTGGAAGGAGTGATGATAGAACTCTACCTTGGCAAAGGCGACAGGTATGTCGTCGAATCCAGCCTCTACCATGCCTCGAACCTCGCACGCCTTCTGATAGGCCTAGTAGATTGTCAGCCTGGGTGACCTGTATCGGTCAGCTAGAGAGAGCACCCACATCCAACACGAAACCAAGTACGTTGATCACTGGCCTTGTGAACTCCGAATCTGGAACCACCTTTAGACCTTGCGATAGATACGGCGCAACTTTGTCGGCTACACGACGCATAGTTTGTCTGAAGCGCTGAGTATGCTGGCCTTGGAAACTAAAATTATAGTCACGGTGGGCCATTTCAAGTTTGGCTTGTACATTAGCCCAGGTCTTTGTGCGGCGGATGCTCCATTGATCTTGGAGCTTGGTTCCGTATTGTGGTTCTGGTGTGTTGGCCAGTTGCTGCATTGCTGCTGGAAACGCGTTTTCCCAAAACTTCATTTCATCAATGAGTCCTGGCCGAGGTCGCGGTCCTGGTCGTGACGGGACGTCAAGTGTAGTGCGGTTGGGCAAGGCTACAGCAGTGTGCTGCTGCGTGGGGTGCGCAATGAACTGGCCCTGGCTTGGGCTCCAGCGAACATGCTGGGGGCTGAACGCAGGGTGATAATTCGACATTCTGTTCTCAAGAAAGTCGACCGCAGGTGACTGCTTCACAACCTGTCGATATTTGTTATTCGACATGTGTAAGGTTCAAGAGAGGACGGGGAGGCTGAGGTGTGCCATGATTTTGTGTTTGGCTTCCGAAAGGAAGGTGCGTGATTGCTGCATCCGCAGTAAGTCTAGATGCGGCTGAGAAGGTGAACAGACTACTTTGCATGGACTTCTTGCATATGCAGTCAGACGAAGCACCTGATATTGGTGGCGCATGATTTTCATGCGTAAGATTCCTTTTCCGTTACGCTTTACAACTGCGAGAGTGGTGCTCACAACGTAATCGCTCCAATAAGGTAGGCGTTTGAGTCCTCAAGCTTGATTCCTTCATCAACAGAACTTCTGATTGGCCACAGTACAACAACGCAGGTCCGCGGGGCGTCTACGACAAGGCCGAAGATACATAGTCACTGCTGATGCCTCTGGTTTGAATTGATGAAGCGTTTGCATATCATATGTTGTCCGCAACGCATCCCGCCACGCAACAAGCTCCCCAAATATCCCACGGTACCACGATCGTAAACTGCGCTGGGTATTTCAGTTCACTTCCCACCCATAGCAGCTAGCTCCGCATCATGGCTGCACAGAACAACGACAGCATGGAGGCGAGTTCAACTGGAGGCCAACCGATCCAAACTCCAGAAGAATCTGAGCAACAATTGAACCCCAGAAGCCCTGAAGGCGATGAGGCATCGGTTACTGAGCCATCTGATCAAAGGCCTCATAGCGACACAAACCACAATGTGGCTGGATCTCTAACCACACGGCTAAAAGCTATCGAGCAGAGGATGCAAGAGTTGGAAGGCCTACCTAGCTCGGATGATTCCGACTTTGACTCCGACGATATCGAGGAACGGATTTTTCCATTCCGTCGTCGTAGAGAGCTCATTAGAAACATGGAGTACCTCGTAAAAGAGTCAACACGTGTTTTTAAGCATTCCAGACGTTTCGACAAAAGGTACGGAAGGTCGGGAGGTAGAAAGAGAACTGAGAACGCTGTGCCTGATTCAACAGAGGACGACAGACTGGATCGCGTGGAGGAATACAGCAAGGCAGCACTCTCCGGTGGCGAGTCGGCCAAATTGGTCTGGGTTAACTGGGGAACGTTTATTGACAGGAATATCGACATCGAAGATACCGTCATGACTCCGATCCAAGCTGTTGCTAGCGAGCCAGAACCGCATATCGTTCTCTCTGCCATGAACAGAGCTTTGGCTGTAGGAAAGAAACAGGTTCCATCGGAAATCTCCTTAGCCAAGCGATATCCGGAGAAAGAGCCACTTCCTGAGAGAATCCATCTGCGGTCTCAGGCGCTTTATGCAATCATCAAACGCCGTGTATCGCGTTCACGTACTCTTGATCCCTCGTCAGCCTATCACCTGGTGCTTCTGAGGCCCTATCGAGTGCTTGTCTACGACGACAAAAAGCTGAGAGAATACTTGAGTTCCTTGGAGCAAAGTTTTGGGGACCCAAGCAAGCCTTCTGAGGCCTCTCACGCGGTCTCAGGATCAGATCCAGCCACGATAGAAAGCATCGACGAAGGTCAGAACCGTGCGCAATTGACCTCCAATACACCAACAGCTATCGATAGACAGAAAGTGCCACATGATGACTCTGATACTGATACAGAAGACGAGGCATCAGATGGAGACATACAGCCATTCATGAGGAACTCCGCCAACGGCCTCTTGCACCTACGTTGTCTGATAAATTTCATGGATAACAACATCAAGCCTACACTCGACTACCTCGCCAGCGACAAATGCAAGGACGTTTACTTCCATGACCTATGGCACCTATTCAAACCCGGTACTGAGATTATCGACCAAATGCAGAAGCAAGCATATCGCGTAGTGCGTGTGCAAGCCGCCAGACATAAGGTCGAACCGTATCCTTGGTTGAGATGGTCCAAAGCCACCGAGTCAGATGATGAGATTGAAGATGAGAGTCTTCTGAAGATCAACTGCGCCTTCATCGACTTCGATGGAAAGCAGTTTGGACCAGTGACAACGACCTTCACAATCACTCCTTTCAGTGGGCTGCAGGTTGTGACCAATCTGCCCGTATATCCACTCCGATTAGCGAAGAACCGACAGCTTCGGTCGGACCTTATCGAGCGTGGGAAGACTTTACTCAGTGTCTCAAAATTCAGATCCATGTATTACACAGGTCACACTTTGGACAGCAGAGAAGAGGTTGACAGCCAGGTCGTTGTAGATTTCGAGGAGGCGTTGACTGCAGTAGAGGACTGGACACCAAAGTTTAGCAGTCTCAAACCTACTTCGTCTGGAATAGTGCAGAGGTGTAAGGCTCCTTGCTGCAATGGGTTATCAATACACGATGATGAATACGTCGATGCTTATTTAGCAGAAGACTTCATCAAGACGTTGATTCCAGAGGATACAACAAAGCAAGCTTCATCTTTGTTGCTGACACCGAGATCTTTGAGTGATCCTCAATCAGGCTCCGGCGACAAGCCAAGTGACGAAGAGCTGGTCGTTATGACGTTCCGAGTGTTCGGTTTTGTACTGCGCACCCGAAAATGGGGTAAGTTAAGGAGATCTTCTGGCTGTGTTCGACGTGGTCGATTGAGGACTCGGATCGACACTGTTTCTGTAACTACACTGACGAATCCACAGCTAAACTTGACCTGACCTTCCTTAGAGCTGAGAATGTCGACGCCAACAATGCGACACGTTCTGCGTTTGACCAGCTTGCTCTACCAGATGGCCATCGTGCCATGGTCAAGTCCCTGGTAACACAGCACTTCCGTGCCCGACATTCGGCGACAAAAGGAATAGGAGAAGACGAGCAGTTCGATCTAATCCGAGGCAAAGGTATATCGTTGCTGCTCCAAATTCCTGAATGTCAATTAATAGGATCTAGGCAAAGGGCTCATAATCCTCTTACACGGCGCCCCGGGGGTTGGAAAGACAACTACGGCTGGTAAGCGATGAGCTCTATGAGGTTGTGACTCTTCTAACGGGTAGACAGAGGGGGTCGCGGAGCATTTCCAAAAACCTTTGTTCACAATCACAAGTGGTACGTCAAATCTAATGAGCGTGTCGACAGACTCCAACTTCGTGTTCTAGGTGACCTCGGAACCACCGCTCAAGACGTGGACAATGAGCTTGGGAAGAACTTCGCTTTGGCGAGCCGTTGGGGATGCATCTTGCTTATCGATGAAGCCGAGGTATTCCTGGCTGCGCGAGAGAAGAAAGATATCCAGCGTAACGGTCTGGTAGCAGGTCAGTGTTGTTATCCGTTCTAAGAGAATCGTGATGTTAATCGGTCCGCAGTATTTCTTCGTGTCCTCGAGTACTACACCGGAATCCTCTTCCTCACTACCAACCGTGTAGGGGAGTTCGACGAGGCTTTTGCGTCTCGGATCAACATGAGTCTTTACTATCCGGAGCTGAACGAGGAAAAGACCAAGAAGATCTTTGATTTGAACCTCAATCTGATACGAGAGCGCTTCGCCCAGCAGGGTCGTAAAATCATCTACGACGCATCCTCCATCGAGAATTTTGCGGAGCAACACTTTCGGCAGTATGACTATTGCCGCTGGAATGGGCGACAGATCAGAAACCTATGTCAAACCGCACTGGCTCTCGCAGAATTCGATGCCCAGGGCGGCAACATGACAGAGGAAGCTGGCAAGAACGTGACGGTTGAGCTGCAGCTCAAGCACTTTAGCACCGTGCAGACTGCCTATGTACACTTCGCCTTTTATATGGGTGATGTTCGGGGCACTAAAGGAGATCGGAGGGCTTATGATAGCGGCTACAGGGCGAAAAAGGAAGACACGCCGTATTACAGTCAACCGAACCGCTTGTCTGGAAGAGCCGAGGAGATGCATAGGAGTCGCCAACAACCGAGCTCCGTGTCAACACCGCACCACTCGGCCTACGGCGATCAATACGATTCACCGCCAAGTCGGCGACCTCAAGGGCATCCGTACCGACAGAGTCAGTATGCAAGAGCCCCGGGAAACCCCCAACAAGAGTATGAATTTCCTGGCGAACCACAGAGACAACCGGCTCCAAGGTTCTACGGTCAGGATGCTCAACAAGAGGCCGTGGCTTACAACACACCCGAACAGCCATGGGAGGTCCCAATCGTCCAATTAAACCAAAGTCCCAGTGGCCGACCTGCTCAAGTTTCCGGACAATATCCTCGTAGACAACCACAGCATAATCGTGGCGACCTCCAGGGAGCATCGCAAGCGTACACTGTGCCAGGGGCCGATGATCTTGACGACACGTTCAGTCCTCCTGGGCTGCGCGGGGGACCGGGTGTTGGTGCTGGGCGTGGCATGGGTGGCTTGTTGTGATAATGGAGGAATAGGTCACAAGTTGAGGAGAAGTCGCGGTGGGCGACGTAAAAACGCTCTGACCGAGTTTGCTAATAGACTCATCATCATCTTGGGCGGAGGTGGTGTGGAACGTAGGGCAGCTGTGGTGTTGCGTGGCGCGGGTTGAGATTTCTCACGGCATCATCGTGATAAGTCGGGGTTGTTTACCTAATCAGTCAATCTCTCTCGATTTCTTTGCAGGTACGACTTTTCCATATTCACACTTCACGCACCTTTGAAAATAGCAAAACTTAACGTTCTAAGGTCCATCCAAGGCAAAGCAGAGCTATCGCCTTGACCTTAGGGTCTTTAGTTGTCACAGCTCCACCCGCATGATCGATCGCTTGAATCAGGCGTCCCGCTTGCTTTCAGGCGGCCCGCTTGCCTTCAGGCGGCGAGAAGCCTTAGCACTTTTTGGGCGCAGTGATTGGTGCCTGCCTAACCAGTTGCTCTAATGTAGAGACTAATGCAAGGCTACAATCCCCTTTCCGTTCGACTTTGGACATCTTCCAAAAACCATACAGGCTGCAGCGGTAGACGCGATTTGCGGTGATGAGTAGTTATAAGTATAGTTAGAGCTGCTTTGCTTCCTCACTTCAATTCCGCAGCAAGTCTCACACTATCTTTTCTACCTTTCGACATAGTCTTCGCGTCGTTGCGTCACAGATCACTATCAAAGAGATGTCGACACACACCGAGAGCACAGAGCTCATCGCTCTTCCCAAGCTCCAAATCGAGCATGCAGACTGGCTATCGCATGTCTCAAAACACCCAAGCACGTCGATGCATGAATTGCTCGCTCCTTACAAAGAGTACGACGCGAAGCTTCGAGAGGTCTTCGCTCAACAGCCATCTCATCCTGCAACCAAAAAGTCCAACATCATTCCGCTCTTCACGGGGCTAGAGCAAGATGTCAAGATTCGCGCCCGTAATCCAGCCACAGAACCAGAAGAGGAACGAGAGCGCTACCTCATGCCCTTGGACAAGGCCAGTCGTAAACCCGATGGCGCGCCAGCGATCGTCCAATCACTCAAGGAGTTCGAGACTAACTTCCAGTTGTTCTCCGAGTCTGCATTGGTGGATATGGACTGGTCCAACGTCGTTGTTGCGGGTAGTGCTGTTGTAACGTCGCTCCTCCCCGTTCCTGCTGAACACAACACCTCGAAACGTGCTCTTCGAGAGTACTACCATCAGAAGCTCGCACCTGCCTCTGATGTTGATCTCTTCCTCTACGGCTTGACCGAAGAGCAGGCAATTGAGAAGATCAAGCAGATCGAGCAGCGTATCCGAGATTCGATCTTGACCGAGACAACTACAATCCGCACGAAGAACGCGATCACAATTGCCTCACAGTACCCAACACGACACGTTCAGATTGTGCTTCGCATCTACAGGTCGATTTCCGAAATCCTCACTGGCTTTGATGTCGACTGCTCCTGCGCTGCTTACGACGGCAAGCAGGTCTACGCTAGTCCACGTGCAGTCGCTGCGTACATGACCCAGGTTAACACCATTGACCTCACACGACGCTCGCCTTCTTATGAGAACCGCTTGTCCAAGTATTCTCACCGTGGATTTGAGGTGTACTGGCCCCTCTTGGATCGCTCACGCATCGATCCAACAATTTTTGAGCGTTCTTTCGGTCGTACACTTGGCCTGGCTCGACTGCTAGTGCTTGAGAAGCTACCCAGCACTACGGACCGAGATGCTTATGTAGACCAACGACGGGCGGAGCGCAGCAGGTAAGTACTCTCAACCATCTTCTTGATGCATCACTAACAGTCACCTACAGACCAGCCATCAACCGTTGGAACACGCGAAGGCACAAGTTGAATGGAAACGTCAAAGACGATCACGATGATGAGGTTCCCGACTGGGTTGAGGCAGACGAGGTCAGCGACTACCACACTTTCACTGTACCCTACGGGCCAAAGTTTCATGCTCGAAAGATTGAACGACTGCTGTACGCCAAAGACCTGCTGCTCAACGCAGAGTGGAACCGACCCAAGGAGCGCGAGACGACACTGCATCGCCACCCAGCCTTCTTTGGTAATGCAACTGATGTGATCGGCGACTGCTGTGGTTACTGTCCAAAGCCTGCAACGCCTGAAGACGAAGAGATTGCAGAAGTCGAGAGCAAGGTCTACGTATCCGGCGACCTCACTTTCATCAAGGACAATCCGGGTCGACAGGCCATCGGCTCCTTCCATCCTCTCACTGACGACGATTGGACGGAAATGGCGTATGTTGGCAACACCGCTAGACTATGCCAGGCCATTGTTGACGGCGATGTCGAGCACGTGCAAGATTGGCTGAACCAGGAAGGCGCAGACCCCAACGAACGCGACTACACTGGTCGCACGCCGCTCCAGCTCGCTGTAATGAGCTCAACACCCGAAGTCGTTCAAGCCCTCATCGATGCTGGTGCTCGTATCGTCGCTCGCATGGTTGATGGCAGAACCGCTTTGCACCTTGCCGCCATGCGAGGTGAAGCCGTGATGGTCAAGGCACTACTTGTCAAGAGTGAAGCGAATGAGGAGAAAGAAGCTAAGAAAGAGGAGGCCAAAATCAAGCAACGCAAGGCTGAAAAGGAGGCCACTCAAGCTGCTGGCATTGCCGACTCTCAGATGGCAGATGCTGATGCTGAACCAGACACAGCTGGAAGTGACGAAGACATCGACATGCTTGACAATGACGGCGAAGACGAACCTGTCGATGCCACCACTGAAGGCTCCATCATCCACATTAGAGGCGAAAAACCGCATGAAGAGAACAACATGCCCATCGACGAGGATGAGGACGAGCCAGACGTATACGACGTCAATGTTCTGGCATGGGATACTCCTGTCTCTCCATTGCATCTGGCCATCACCAATGGGCATGTGGAAGTTGTCACACTGCTGGTCCAGGACTTTGGTGCAGACGTCCTACTACCGGTCAAGCTGTTACACGAATACAACAAGTCACCTCGAGCAGCGATTTTGCCTCTTGTCCTGGCTCTGAAGCTGCCACCACAGAAGGCCGACGAGATGACCAAGGCCTTGATCGCCCTTGGAGCATCGCCAGCGCAAGCTGATGTAGACAACATCACTGCCTTGCATTACTTCGCAGCCAAGGATGCCGCCTTACTTACGACTATGGTCTCGGCGAACCAGCCCGGTGCGAAGCGAGCAGTGAACCACTTACACATGTCCGGCAACGATTACCTCCCCAGTGCCAAGTCCGCCTTACAAACCGCGATCGAGCACGGAGATGTCGAAAGCATCGACGTCCTTCTCGAACTTGGTGCCCAGCCACAGATCGACTTTGCCACATACATAACCTCGTACAAAACCAAGTGGGAAGCTCGTGGAAACTCTGAAAACAACCAGAAGATGTTCCAAACAAGCTTCTGGCAACCCGTACTTACAGCTGTCGAGCATGAACTTCCGTCCATCGTTACCAAGCTTCTTGATGCAGGCGCTGATGTCAACTGCCTCAGTGGTGGAGCCTGGCGCGCTGTTCACGATGGCAGAACCGGTGCACATAATAGTTCTCACAGTCTTTTGGACGCAACCCGCAAGAAGATCGAGACTTTGAGGGAGTGGGTCGAGAAAGAGGAGCAGAGCAAGGCTGTCACCACGACTGACGTGGTCGGTCGACGATCTCACACGTCTCCGCCCGTCCCTTTGAAAGAAGATTCGCATTACCTTGGAAAGCTCACGCCAGGAACCTACGCGCATTGGTCAACTTTAAAGCAGTTACAGGGAGCGAAGCGCAAGTACAAGGAGGACCTCAGAAAGTACGAAGAGAGTACGAAATCGATGCCCAAAGCAGCCGATGGGTGGAAAGAGAAGCTGTCTGAAGTCAAGAAACTGCTCACAGACTACGAAGCTTTAGAGTCTGCATTGCTTGAGCGAGGAGCCAAGCCATTCGCAGATCTTTACCCCGACATTACACTTGTAAAAAACCCGTACTACAACTCGCATAAATACAAGCCGGATCTCCCCAAGCCCTGGGAGCCCCTGCTCGGTTTCGATCTTCCTGATTTGACGGACGAGCAACGCGAAGCGTACGTGAAGCTCTTCCAGGCTTGCTGGGAGGCGGATCTTGCCACAGTCAAGGAGCTCACACTCGCGGTCTGGGGCGAGAATCAGACTCCGCTGAAGATTGCCGTGCAGGACACCGCCGGCTTCTCACCTTTCTCGCTTGCAGTTCTCCAAGAGCACTTCGAATTTGCCAAGGCGTTGCTTGAGATCGCAGAAGTCCAATACGCCCCTGTGGAGAAGTCAGGCCAATCGAAATATTACCTTCACGCCGGAGACTCGCATGACGAAGACGACACATCTGAAGCTGACAACGAAGATGAGATTCGACTGTTTCACGAGGTCATCGACGACAAGTTCACCGTCGAGAACATCGGAGAGGTACAGAGTCAGGTCAAGAGCAAGTACACTGCGCTAGATGTTCTTGCCTGGGATTGTCCAGTGCCTCGCTTTTTGGAGGAAGATGATACATCTACCGGCATTCTCGACTACTCTACTCACCACAGCCGCCTCCAGTATCTTGGCAGGAAGTCATATGGCGGCAGAGCACCGCGCAAGATACTCAAGGACGCTGCAAATGGGCAGACGTACAGAGTGGCCCAGCGGTCTTCCCAAGAGAGCTACAGTGAGGTGTCTAAGCCGGGCAATCTGTTCCAGCTTGCGATTTTTCTTGATGATGCAAGTCTGCTTCAATTCTTGATCAACGCTGGCGAAGAGTACACCGTTCGCCGTGGAGGCACTGATGACAAGCCTGCGTCCAAATTCTACAGCTTCGACGAGCATGACTTCCACTACGCCATCCAGCTGGGCAGGGTGCAGCTGTTGAAGGATATCGTGAAGCGCACCGGTGCTGGCATTCCTTTAGACGATCTTATCAAGAAGAGTGGCGTAGAGATCACAAAGAAGCCCAAGTACTACCAAGGTCTCTCAGTCCATGGCAAGAAGCGAGCGGACTGGGCTGCATGTGGACGAGACACACATTACGCAGCGCCGCATGAAGAGCACCCGCCATTGCTACATGCGGCGCGCCTCACGAACCTCGACAGTATTGAGTGGTTCCTCAGCGACGCGGCCACTCACGCTTACTTTGAGTTCGCGGAGAACAACAAGAAGGATGTCCGAATCCAGGTTCTCGCAAAAGCGAAGGGTGGCCTGCAAGCTTCCATCAGCAAGTGGCTCAACCTACGCTCGAAACTTCTGATCCACGTAGTGGTACTCAGCAAGACTGACGATGACTCTATGGAGCTGTTACGACACCTTTGCGAGACTCAGCCCGATTCCATCAACCATAAATCTGCCACCGGCCTTACGCCTCTACAGCTGGCCTTCTCGCTGCACCGTGTCGAGATGGCAAAGATTCTTATTAATGCCGGCGCAGACCAGACCAGCCGCAACCACAACAACGACAACTTGATCCACTCTGCGCTTAACCACGCCATGATCAATGCCGATGATGGCCGAAAGAAGCTCCGCGAATTACTCGAGCTCATCGACGCCCGGCTCATCACAGGCATGTTCACCGAACGAGCCAATTCCGCTCCCGGCGCATCCACGCCCCTCGCCCAATGGATTTACACTGACATCCGACGCGACAGCAGCGACTACGGTTACAACTGCGACTACAAAGATCAACCTCACGCCACTATCACCAAGCAACAAGAGACGCTGCGTCTGCTGCTCGAATTCAGCAAGGGCGAGGATCTCGATCTTGTCAATAGCGAAGGGGACACGCCACTCCATGCGGTTGTGCGCTACGGCGCCGACCACATCCTCCGCATCATGCTATCTTGCAGAAACGACTTGCTGTTCCGCGAGAACGCGTCGGGTAGGACGCCATTTGAAATGGCAGAGGACACGCATCTGGCGCAGAATGTGTTCAATGACCCGCCGAATATTAGCGTACAGCAGCGGAACAGGTACTATAGCAACGCACCCACATACAGTATCCTGCAGCGTAGTTCGGAGAGTTTTGTCAAGGGAAGAGAGGATAAGAGGAACGAGAAGGAGACAGTGTTGGACGTGTGTAGGGAATTTAGGGGCGTGAGAGGGAAGAAGAGGAAGTTGGTCAGTTTGTTGGAGGCGAATGAGGTTGCCAAGAGGTTGGCAGGGAAGAGGCAGAAGTTTGAGGTCGAGGTTAAGAGCGGCGATGGTGAAGAGCAGACTGAGAAGGGGGATGAGGTGGATATTTGGTACTACATGGGTTTGAGCGCTGATAGGCAGTAAAACGCCAGAGATGAAGCGGATGAAGTTCCGCGATACGCTTCCAACATCAAGATTATTTGACTACCACTACGTTGTTCAAGCACTGCTGTGGGGAGAGGTAACCCTCATTTCCCTTACGCTATCAGCTCTGGTGTATAGTGGTTCCCTATTATGCCCCTCGTCGGAGCTAATCATCAATTGCGTTAAAGCGCCTCCTGCCCGACACGTAAGCGGCAAGGTACTCCTTGAAGGTGTTGCAGAAAGAAACGCCAGCCTTTCACTGCCAAACCCAGTAATCACGCCAGCGAGACTTGAACCAATTGAGGCGTAACCTGGGACAGAGAGCTGTTGCAATAGTATAGAAGCTCGGAGTTGGCTCCATAGCCAGCTTCACCCAGGTGTTGAGCTTTTCTATGTAAGGGTAGACTCTGAGGGTAGGTGCCAAGACGATTCAGATGAATTTAGTGAGGTTTGCTGGCTGCCAGCCGGCTCAGTTTGGTAGTGTGCGACTGCATGCCGCAAGCTGGAGATACCATGGCACCGATGCTCAGCTAGCCAAGGATGCTAACTGGGCACAGCTCGTTACACTCTAGGTCATAGTTGATGGCTGATATTAAGTAGCTCTCTTTGCCTTGTCAAACCTGCTAGTTGCAATGTCGTAGTATTGCCACAAGGCTTGAAGGTTGACAATAGTTTGCCATACTGAGCCAAAGCCTGACATGCTGTTGCTGCCTTTGAGCACTTTGCAGAGGTTGTACGGTACCTTCAAAAAGTCAATAATGTTGCGGTGTATATAACTTTTAGGACCCGAGAGCCAGAAAGGTCGGTCTTTTTTGTTGCGATATTGGTTGGTGCGTACAGTGTCTGACTATACCCCTGATTAACCACCCTGGACCAGTGTGTTACAGGCCAGGTATATAGTCGTCCCCTCCTATTCCATTGACCCGATAGTCCTACGTTATCGTTTACTGTAGCTATCAGTATACTACAGCGGCTCCACGCTGCCACAGTTGTGAGCCTGGAAGCCTTCAGTTAATCGCTGCGTCCACTCGTTTACCTGCAGCCTATACAACTGGCTGTCGACCGTACTGTCAACACAGCCGACTGCTGTTTGACACGGAACCGTTCCGATTGTCAACGTCAGACAGAGCACGTTCTGGGGGAGAGCACGATGAGTGTGTACGAGCAGAACCAGCTAGCGACAAAGACGTCAGTTATACTCAGCAAGCCAAATGACTGGGAGATATGGCTGTTTGTGAAAAAGGACATAGCAGACAGGCACGAGCTGTGGCCATACATCAACCCAAGTCTGCCAGCAGACAAGCTACTACAGCTCAAGCACGAAAAGCCAAAAGAGAAGCCTGTGTGGAAATTCAAAAGGACACAGCTATCACAAGAAGAGAGGGAGGAAATCGACATTCAGGACCTGATTGATCAAGAGCTATCAGCCTACAACACGTGGACAAGGAAGTATGAGCGTGAAGCAACAGTATGGCGGCAGAAAGAGAACGCCATGAGAGACCTCAATACTGAGATTGTCAAAACAGTTGACGTTAAGCATCTGAACTTGATCATCAACTGCTCAGACCCATACAGTCGATTGACAACGCTCAAGAAGCACCTCTGCCCACCAGTAGACAAGAGGAATCCCCTACGCAGCCGTTATCAAGCGGTGTGCACAAGGCCAAAGAAGGCTAGCTTGGACGCTTGGCTTGATGAGTGGGTAACAGTCACTAGACTGCTACAGGAAGCTAGAATGCCAGAAGTAGATGGCAACCGAGCGCAGAAGGACTTCATACTGTCAACCAGGAGGCTAGATGACAGCTGGGTAGCTGCAAGGCTGCATAAGCTGATAACAAAGGACTAACAAGGAGAGCAGTAAAAGTCAACTGCAGATCTAGTGGCTGATTTCCGGTCATACTACCGACAAACACGTCTAATTGCATCATCCCCCGGTACCTTTGCAATGTTAGGTGTTGCAACCAGGTCAGATGGACCCACAGCTTCAGGGGGGATTGACACAAAGCGTAATCTGCCTCTGTGGAGACAAGCACATATTCCAGGACTGCCTGTACGTCAATCACAGTCTACAACAACGTAATTGGAGACCCGACAGTTCAGTACCGAAGAAGTTTGACAAGCTACAACAACAGTCAGGGAATTCAGCATCAAAGGTCTTGAGGAGAGTAGAAGCCCGACTCAAGAAAGATGGCAAATTGACAGAAAATGTCAGACAGTCCGTAATCAGTATGGATGATGGCCAACCAGTCAGAAGCACGACACACTGCAATGCTATGCTACAGACTATAGCCATAGCCAACCAGACTCAGCCACCACTGCTCACCAGGTGGATATTGGACTCAGGGCCAAACTGTCACGTCACAAGTACGAAGGGGCCCAACTAGACTACAACAAAGAAGGAGATCCCACTGACTACGTCTATGCAGGCGGAGTGTTAGTTCAGATAGAGGAGTGGGGTGAGGTCGTACTCAATGTCAAGACTCCAACAGGACAGAGTCAGGTGAAGCTGACATACGTGGCCTACATACCTGGATTCTTCACGAGTGTAGTAGGACCGTCACGCAGTAGGCCCCTGGGAGTACACTTTGACTCAGGACGTGACTGCCTGTATCAAGAGAAGGCATCAAACGTGATTTGTCTACTACAGTACCAGGACGGACACTGGTTGATTGAAAATGAGAGAGAGCAGGCACCACAGCCAGCTCTACTGTCAGTATACGCAACACGTTACGCAGTACTAGGGCCATCACGAGACAGTCGAAAGCCCCTAGTGGTCAGCCAGAAAGACGCTCACAATCTGTTTGGACATATCAGCCAGAAAGCAGTGGATCAACTCCGGGCGCAGCCCGTTATGCTCTTCGCTAGGCTTCATAGCTGTTTGCGGAATCTGATAACTTCGATGTCGAATTTGTAAAGAGATTCTACTGACTTGAGTTTGACAAATTCGAATTGGGATACACGGCGCAGAAGTATAATGCTCAACGAGACCAAAATCATGGAACGTCTCATATCACGTACGAGCTAGTAAACGCAGAATGGCTACGTGATCTCCGCAAGAACATTTAGCAAGACTTTGTTATCGACGCGACAACCCTCAGTTGGTGTGGCACCATGTCTGTATCCTACGCGAAGCTTGAGATCCAAGTCTGCAGTGCTGTAGCCTTTCAAGTTATTCTTAAGAACGAGCGAAAAAGCCCATGAACAGAGTGTCGTTGTGTCTGATACATTTTCTACAGTGACTGCATCACTGAATGCTCTTGTCATCAAAGAATCCATAGACTCCGAGACAGAGGTCGGGGCAGCAGGAAAGTCGAAAAGCTCCCACGATAGAGGTACATCTTTTTGAGCGGAGTCTAGAGACCCTTGTTTCGAGGCTGAAACATTCGAAAATGGTCCAGCTGTATGTTTAGTTTGGTTATCGCGGGTCGTAACTTGTGGCAACTGCGGCTGGTCAAAGTCGGATTAGAGCAAAGTCCAAGACGCTACGAGGTCCACATACCTGCAATACGTCCAGCACAGGGAAAGTAAATGAACATTCATTGGCTTGAGCACAATGTTCGTTATCAAGCGGCGACCACGAGATGTTTGGAGCAATCCTGACCGCATTACTGTAAGCCTCAAGAAACTCATCGCGCAATCCCAGAGACTGCAAAAGTCGTTTCAAAGACTTGTTTTCCGTAGCAAGCTCTTCGAGCTTCTGATTGGTTGCACGTTCGATACCGACGCCTTCTTGTTGGCGGATCTTGTCTTCAAGGCTAGCGATGTATTCTTTTTGTCGCGCGCGACAACGTCTCTGATTGTTACGGATGCGCTCCAGATCTGTAGCCTGGACTTTAAGTTCAGTATCCAAGCAAGGACACGGGACGGCAGGATCGATCGCACCTTCTCCTTTGAGATCGTTCCATTACTTCTGTTCGGCATGTTCAGGAAAACTAGGGGTGGCTGTTCCAAGGAGGCAATCAGACTCAATGTGTTGCTGCGTGCCTGCCCGCTTGAAGTTGCAACAAGCCGTGCCAAGATTGGCCCGTTGGCTGCCCACTTGGCTCCGGCGCGTCAACCCACTAAGCTACGCTGTGGACTTGCTCGTTCGCTATTCATCCATACCATGATTTCAAGAGAGGTTCGTCAAGCGCACCTTCCACACTGATCGTCAAACGAATGACTGACCATGTGCTAGAGTAATGAGATGTTCTCAGTCGATCACGTTCGAGAGGTTCAGAGGCGGTTCCGTACCCGACGCGCAGAACTCCTACAAGGTCCCCAGAAACGCATGCACAATTACGAGCGGCAGGGTATTGCCATCACACAGAGAATGCAGTGAGCTGCACGTAGAGTCACATGATAATGTTGGACTTTGGAGTTTACTTGCGCTCTCCATGTGAAGAATCAGAATTTCATCCACGTTATCAGGCAAGATAATTACTCCAGAGGCTCATCTCCCTTCTTTCCTGTACTCGTTGATGGTCTATCAACGTAGAATGTCTACGGAAGGTTGCGTTATAGCATTAGTCTGGCAACATACTCGGGTCGTTCTTTAGACGCACAAACATCGATCCACGGTGGGTACCACACCAACAACAGAGGTTTACTACGCGACCTTGGTGAATCGCAGAACCCAACACTAGAACTCTCGTCCGACCGCAGTATAGATACCCAAGGTGGCCGTCCTTTGAGAGCTGGCAAGCACCTGGGCGTTCATACATACACCTAAGGCTGCTCCAGTTCGTCTTCCATAGTCTCAGACTCACATAGGACATTAAACCAATCAATCAAGGCTGCTCCAGTCTGACCCATATTTCATATATATTCCATACTATGTACCTAGCTTAATCCGAGTTTGTCCGGGTGGGGTACCTAGATTTGCCTGGGTCACTTGTAGTTGCCATTAATGTTAAGATTCGGGTCGCCATCTCTCGTACGCGTGGGTGAGATTGGGCGGGGCGCGTGATTCCTCATCAAAGATTCAATCAGCTGGGGAAACCGTCTTGCTCCGGTGTCAACCGCTGTTGATTGCGGCGAGCTATCGCATGCGGTTGTTAATGTCGGAGGGAGTGAAGGTATCCACCGATCGCCATCTGTTTGCTAGCGGTCCGTTGCAGTGTTTGCTAACGGTCCGCTGCACTGATTGTCCAGCT